ATTGGTCACTGTTTTTCGTTGATAACTCGTTAACGGCGCCTCGGAGAACATTTTTGTAAAGGAAAAAGTTGCTTCGAACGATCCGAGGAACCCGCCACTTTCGGATTGCGAGACATTTTTGGGACGCCCTGTATATACAGACAGAATATACAGTATCGGACTCTGCCGTCCAGAGAAATAGCCTCGCGCAGAATTCAGCCGTACCTAAAAGGTTAAGGACAATAACGCGTGGATATAGGGATCGCTAATTGATCGGGATAGTTGCGGGAAAGGTTTCGACCGGACAGCCGTCTGCCGGCAGACGTAGGCGCGCAGCCTCTACACGCGTCCGTGTATTCTTAATGATTCGTTAAACTGGTTTGTTTGGAAAAGGTGGCACTGGTGAACGTGGTCCATATCAAGGATAGCGTGTGCACCCTGCCGACTTCGATCCTGGCGCAGTATCTGAAGCAAGCGAACGGCCAGTTATCCTGCCTCAAGGTGAGAGTCGAAAAAGACAAAGACGCGTTTCGGCGTGTACCGGTAGAACGAGGAGAAAGAGTGGAGTAGAGTAGAGAATAAATCGTTTGACCCGGTTTCAGCAACTGTACCTGGCAACGGGCAACTCGACCAACTACGACGAAGGAGACGTGTCCTCCGGTCTTGGCTCGGCCCTGGCGCTCGCGGAGCCATGCAACAACAACGGGGGAGCTGCGAGGGGTGCGCTGGTCGCATCGGGAACCGGGGATCCCGAGGGATCGCTCTGGAACACGGCTGGGGAGCAACTTTGCGTCGTCTGCCAGTACTTCCCCCTTTCCAGAGCCCTGCTGCCCTGCAGGCACACCTGCATCTGCGCCTCCTGCTTCGGCAAGTTGGACCGGTGTCCCATGTGCAGGAGCCCCATCAAGAGCTACTTTTGCATCCGCGGCGAGGAGTACATGCCCCTCGAGGCGGAGATCAACCCGTGCAAGCAGAGACAGCCGAGCCACGGGCCCACCCACTGGCTGCACGATTGGAACGACCGACTCACCGATTTTCTCGGATTCGCGCGATAGGATCGCCCCTCGTTCCAAATCGAGTCGAATCGATTTCGAAATCAGGAGACTTACCGTGTTGTTTCGAGCCCGAGGGACCGCCCCGCGTTTCCAAGTGTAGCGTTCGCAACGACGAACGAAGGAGAACCGCTTTCTGTTAGCTTTCTGTTAGAGCAACGGGCAATTCGGGAAGCGTTCGAACGGCAGAGAGAACGGGCGGTGTGTCGTTGAAAATATTTCCGAGATTTCTAAAATATCAGGAGAGGAAATCGGTGCCGACGATTCAACAGATTCAACGACGAAAATGTAAACACTTCTAAATCTCCTATGGAGTAACGTTTCAGATTTTTACCAAGTAACGTTGTATAAATACTTAAGGTGTACATACAAAATATTAGATAGGACGTGTCCGATTCTACGATTGCAACTAACGATTAAGTTATTGATATTATTTCATACGAACACATGTTTATTCGATAGATCTAGAAGACATTAGTTCTGATATGCATGCCTTTAAAGTATTTCTCCAGTTTTCTCTCGCTCTTCTTCTCCATCTATTATTCCTCATTCTCTTTTCTCTCTTTTATCCCCCCCCTCTCTCTCTCTCTCTCTCTCTCTCTCTCTCTCTTTCTCCACCTGCTCGATTTGTCTAGCTGTAACGGATCAACGATCCGAAGGAAAATACTTTTTGTTTCCTTTGTAATTGCTCTGCCGTCCATGAGCAGCGATGGAGTGACTTTTACGCGAGGTTCTTCTGAAAAGAAAACGGTGCTCGGTCGGAGATTGAAAGGACAAACGAATGAACGTTCGGTGGAAATTAATTTAAGAGAAGAACGTTGCGTTTAACGTTAGGAACTGTAAATACACAGACTGTGATAATTGTAATAACATCTATTATGTACCAGACACATCACGAAAGAATCCGGGCAACGCGGGACAGAAAATCGCTTTTGTATTTCACCGTTTGTTAACGCGTTATCGTTAGCCTATTTCCGGATATCTTCCGGAAATATGGGTTCAGAGAAAAAGCATGGTATTGTTCTCCCGCTCCGTTGATTTGTCACGAGAACAGAATTTTAAGCACGCGTCAGAATATTCGTGTTCTATACATGGACACTCTTTGGAATGAGTTACGAATTTTAGCCATTCGTGTTTCAAATATCAAATCGTGAATGTCGGAAGATTTGAATTTAACACTTGAAGAGTTTAAACGGAAGCTAGACTTAAGCAGTCCTTAATCTTTTCAATTTCGTTCTGTTCGCTTAAAGTGGTATTTCTCTCTCTCTCTCTCTCTCTCTCTCTCTCTTTCTCTCTCCCTCTCCTCCTTCCTCCCACTCCCGCCTACTCGTTCTCTTCTCTTTTTCTTCCTCATACTCTCTCGTTCTCTCTTTTTGTGATAAGCAGACCGCGAATATTTATGCAAACATAGATTTAAAGAAATGTTTGCATAATATCCACGGTTTGGTAACAAGCAACCGAATAAACAAAATGCTTCGGTGATTCTTATCGCTGGCAGTGCTACAAGTGTGCGTGTCGTTAACAACGATAGGGATCATTGAAACGTCGCGTGTGGCACAGTTACACTGCTACAAGTACCCAACGCGTGTGCATGTAGGGGAGTACAATGAAACTATACGGCTAATTCAAGAGTAAAAGGCCTCTGAAGTCAATGTTATTGTAGTCGATGATCTTAACATCCTAATTTATATTTGATTCAACAAGTATGGAGTTTCGATGATGAAACAATGTCTGTATGTGAGAACCTGTATNGTTTAACGTTAGGAACTGTAAATACACAGACTGTGATAATTGTAATAACATCTATTATGTACCAGACACATCACGAAAGAATCCGGGCAACGCGGGACAGAAAATCGCTTTTGTATTTCACCGTTTGTTAACGCGTTATCGTTAGCCTATTTCCGGATATCTTCCGGAAATATGGGTTCAGAGAAAAAGCATGGTATTGTTCTCCCGCTCCGTTGATTTGTCACGAGAACAGAATTTTAAGCACGCGTCAGAATATTCGTGTTCTATACATGGACACTCTTTGGAATGAGTTACGAATTTTAGCCATTCGTGTTTCAAATATCAAATCGTGAATGTCGGAAGATTTGAATTTAACACTTGAAGAGTTTAAACGGAAGCTAGACTTAAGCAGTCCTTAATCTTTTCAATTTCGTTCTGTTCGCTTAAAGTGGTATTTCTCTCTCTCTCTCTCTCTCTCTCTCTCTCTTTCTCTCTCCCTCTCCTCCTTCCTCCCACTCCCGCCTACTCGTTCTCTTCTCTTTTTCTTCCTCATACTCTCTCGTTCTCTCTTTTTGTGATAAGCAGACCGCGAATATTTATGCAAACATAGATTTAAAGAAATGTTTGCATAATATCCACGGTTTGGTAACAAGCAACCGAATAAACAAAATGCTTCGGTGATTCTTATCGCTGGCAGTGCTACAAGTGTGCGTGTCGTTAACAACGATAGGGATCATTGAAACGTCGCGTGTGGCACAGTTACACTGCTACAAGTACCCAACGCGTGTGCATGTAGGGGAGTACAATGAAACTATACGGCTAATTCAAGAGTAAAAGGCCTCTGAAGTCAATGTTATTGTAGTCGATGATCTTAACATCCTAATTTATATTTGATTCAACAAGTATGGAGTTTCGATGATGAAACAATGTCTGTATGTGAGAACCTGTATATAATTTATTTAATAAAGCGTATTCATGCTGTTAAATCGTGTCATGTACTTATACATGAGGCGTTGTTGGTCCATCCTGCGAACGAAATGCAAAAGATGATTTTAATTCCACACATCTGTATTGCAACTTTAATATCTAAATTAAATCTCTGAATCATATTTATATGCCCCTCCCTTACCCAACAATTATCTGCATGATAGGAAACAGAAGCCAAATGGAGAAATCCCTGCAATCTAGCGATTACAATGAATCTTACGAAATATATATCCAACAAGTACACACTGACAGAATTACTATTTAAACGATATGCCAGATTTGTTGTTTCTTTAAATTTAAACGACTTCAATCTAAAGGAGTGGTCCTTTTTAATTTGCGCGACAGAAAGAATATGTAGAGCAAGTTCTTTGTGTCCAAAGATCCGAGCTTCTATAGATCGGTGATTTTCGAGTTCGTTCGACTTTCTTCGGAAACGCTCGGGTCTCTAGCAACACACGGTCTGTGTACATACACATATTTCACTGTGTACGTACAACTCTGGTGACCGTTGATTAAGTTGACATTCGACTCTGGCTTTGCATTACATGTGTATTCGAATTTTTTTTCTCAAACGTCAGTCGAAATTTCGTCGACACGAGAATTAATATTGAGAAATTAACATTTCTCGTGTTGTCTTCCACGAGCAATGTCTTCGAGAGGAAGGTGAACGACGCACACGACCGCCCTAAGATGATTCGGTGAGCGAAAATAAGGACGCGGATCTACGTGCCTCGTGAAAATCACCGCAAAACTGTGTTGTGAACCGGCGCGTATTGTTCGCTTCTCTTTGTTCGTCACGGAAACTCGGTTGTTTTCGTTTCCGTTGGAACCTTCACCTCTAAGATGGTTTACCGCAACTAGAAGGATACGCGAGAGCCAGTTTTGGATGTCCTTTTCAGGCACATGTACACTCATCGATCAAAAGGGAATGTTTGTTTTGCTTTTCACTGGCTTCGAATCACGAGTTGTTGCAAAGGTTAACCCGAACCACAACACGATCACTTGATGAGGTGAGTGCGCGGTCCTTGTTTTTCTATCAGCTTTCACGTCTGACTCATTCGCGTGGTGATAACACCCGGTGTAAATTCGATCTTTCGAAATTTTCCATTTCAATATTCGTCAAACACATCTAATGTGCTAATTTGAAACCTTACTTCGTTATTACAGTTTCTTAGTTGTGTCAGTGTTTCCCGGGATGAGTAAATTATATATTAAAATGTCTCAACTGTAGTCTACAAGCACGAGATGTTCGCGTAAAATTGAATTTTGACTGTGTGGGTTATTAGTTATCACTGCGGTGCATTACGGATTATAAAGGAAATCGAAAACCCTCTAAGCAAATTACCTTGCCTTTCTCATTACTTAACGTAATTTGCTGAGCTTTTAGGTTTGTGAATTTTTCAAATTTAACCAAGATCAAAATACTCAGTATCGAGAACTTTTTTAGAAATACAACTGGTAGTATATATTTTTAGGAGTACTTTGTCTAAATCTAAATATTATTACTAACAAATTTTGTGATTTTATCTGTCAGGTTTTGAAGAATAAATAACTGCCAATAACAGGAAGCAATGGCTGGCAGCGGAGAACTTTGGGTGCAATGTTTTACCTGTTGTTTAACGCAACAAGGACCAAGGACGCGCAATGGAAGGCAACGGTCGCATCAGAGATTAAGGATAGACCGCAGTATGATAGGGGTGCCGACAAATTTTAGACATACCGGTCATATAAGCAGCGGAGATGTGGATATGACCAGTGCGCAATTGTCCAATTTACAAGCACAGATGCAGATGAAAGGAGGCTATGACAACGCTTATGGAGTTAAGGTAACGTAACAAGTAAATATTTGAACTGAAAGTATAAGGATAAAAAATTATATGCGAATTAAAATTCATTTTAGGCATGTTGAAAATATTTATACAGTACATTTAGACTGACCTGGGAACAATTTTGAGATGAGACTATAAAATCGACGGTGTTTTTAATGTCTATCGTTCCTCGCATTGAAACAAACATACACATAGTCTGTATGTAAAGGTATGTTGCAAATGACGTCTTGTCTTGGAATGAAATCAAATGTACGAAGACCAAGCTAAACAGAATCTACAATTGCGAGATGTTAATTTCTACGGAGACTATGTCAAAAATTCGTATTTAATTACAAGTTACATTTAACTACCGTACAAGTTACGCTTTTATCGTAAAGACTGGATGCTCGATAGGAACAGAAACTGCCACATTATACACACAAGTTTTGAGGTGCATTATTTTTTCTTATAGTAACTTTGAATTATTCTTCCATTTAAAATAGTCGATGTTCGTTGATATACACACATTATACTAATTATGCTAGTTGTTATATCGAGCGTTACTCGTATTTACATGTTTTTTTTTGATAACGCAATGACTTTTTACAGTAGTAAATCTATCATTAACAAATGTTAGATACCTGTCTTATACTTCCAAGTGAGAATATAAGTACTTCACGGTTACGTAATGCTTTTGTAAAGAGATAAAGAAAGAGGAAAGAATGTATTTTGCATGGTTTATCTGTGCCGATTAATGGATAAATATTTTAGCATATATGCGGTGGACACCAATGTTCACGAAGCACGGCCCATTTTTCCTACTTCTGTACTCCATCTCCCCAAAATGGGGCGCGTAAACCTACATTAGGTAACTTTTGGAATTTAGATGTGTCGAAAGAGTTAAGAAAAAATTGATTTGTACGTATTCTTCCTAGTCTATAATCATTCAACTACGAATCGTGAATTATTATAGCTATTGTTTGTTATACTTTAATCTTATAAATCGTGATCTCCCGAGGTGTATCCATGGATCAGTGACAAACGTATGGAGACGAAAAGGACGAGGAGGTAGGAGGACAAATAATCCGCAAAGGATTTTTTAGAATTTAATTTAAATCCTGGACCACTTAACATTGAAAAGTATATATTAGATAAATTTAGAAAGTATTCCTGTATATCTCCGAATTCTGATCGTCTTCTATATGTATACATCATGAATATTTATTTAGACTTTTGGTACTTTGGAAAAAGAAATTGTAAAGGAAACTCATAATGTACAAGCACTTATGGACTATAAGGAAATCGTACGTCGTAACAAGAGGTAGCTCTAAGTATTGTATTTAATATGCAAGAATAAATTTGTGTACTTGTAATCTGGTTTCATAGATATGATTTACTTTTTTTAAAAGTAGAAGGAATAATTTATCGATAACAAGCGCATCAATATTTTCTTTAATGTTATATAACATATTTATTTATTATTATTATTATTATTACATCTATCAGTATAGCTATATGTATATACAAAAGATATTTCTAAACTATATATCGCTATGTCAAGGTATAATATCACATAATATGTATGTGGATTGAGATCCATGTCCATTTAAGAAACTCGCTTCGTCCCCAAGTACAAAATATTCTCCTTAAAGCTGTCTCTCTCTCTCTCTCTCTTCAGTTAAAATCATGCAGTAACAAGTTTAAAAAATATTCACTTTGAAAAGAATATTCAGTGCAATACAAATTCTATATGTACATACACATCAAACATGCGTACACAGCCATGATGCTTTTGTAATTGTACTTTATGCATCCATTGGTCATGAATGGAACCAAGAAACGCCTGCGAGTCTTTCATTATACCATCTTTACGCTGCCTAGCTGAGCTGACAACCTATTTCGAGCATATTCGTTTTATACATGTATGTATATAAACGCACGCACACGTGTCTAGATTAATGCTAAAAATTAAAACAGAATAGCGAATATATACATCTAACTCGTATTTCTAGAAAAAACCTCAGTATTTACAAAAAATAAACTAGGCGAGTTTGAAGAAAACGCGACTTCGATATTTACAAGTCAGTTTGCACTTAACGATTATGCATACATTGTCGCCGCGTGTATCAAGAAATTTGTATCTAAGCAAATTGTACTCCAGTCTATGGAATTTATCTGTCGATTTTCCATTAACAATACAAATGTGCTCTAAATACATATCTAGTTCAAGGTGTTGATCGGAATGAATGGAACAGACTGCGAATCCCTAACAGAGCTCCTTTTCGCGTATATTCGTGTCACACATTGTTCAGAATTCATTTCTTTCTTCGTGGTTTGGCAGGTGTCATGTTATTACTTCTCTGTCCCCCCGCATTAAACGCCATTCTTGGAAACGGGCTTCCAGTAAACGTCAGGTGGCAACAGCAACTTGATGGAAACTTAAACGTGTCCGGGACCATCGTGCCGTCCGACAGCACTGCTGCAAGTTGTCTATAAACGTATTTTTGCTTGCAGGTTGTTTTATAGCCCTCTCCAGGTGAACCGATCACGTTGCAACTAGCGCTCTCCATGCTGCAAATAATTTAAGACTTGTCAGAAAAATAGCACATGGTAGATAGCCGGGTTCAAAGGTATTTTACTCATAGGATACCCACCTGCACTTCTCAATACGTACGCCCTGCTTAAAATTGTCCTGATTCGCAATGTATTTCCATTGGTTTTCCTTGTTCTCGGCTGTTTGAGGATATATTACTTGCTCCTGAAATAGTAAGCGTTTATTAAATCAATTATTTGTTTAATAACAAGTTTGTCATTTTTAGTGGATAATATTCGGCAGATGTACATACAGTTGCTACGCAGAGTGGCGTGTCGTCATTTGCGTTGAGCCTCTCTTGTATTTGGGGCATCTAATAGGACCAAGATAAAATTAAAGATCGGTATTTCATTAAATATACATGTACATATACAGTTACCCACAAAATTAAGCGTACACTTTTTAAAACGCAATAACTTTTTTTTAAACTAGTCTGAGTGACTTGAATTTTTTTAAAACGATAGCAGGACGATGTCTACTAGACAATGACTATAATACTTTTTTTAAATTTTGCTATTACTTGAAATAACAAAAAAAAAGACTCATTCTTTAACTTTTTTATCTGAGCCTATAACGTAAATTTAAAAAATGCCTCTCGTAGATCTCGACAACTTATATGAATGCTGAACATTTTATCGATATGGATTGACGTTGTTATGAGTTACAATAAATTAAAGGAATATAATAATAAATTATAAATAAAACACTGGAAGAGATCTGCAGTTTTTTAAATCTTTCAACGCCTGTGTCGCTCGACATTGGGTTAACTTTTATCTTTTTTCTTGTTATTCCAAACAATAGTAAAATTTAATAAAGACATTTTGGTCATTGTCTAGTATACTACTCCCTCTAACATCTACAAAAAGATTCAAGTCACTTAGTCCAGTTTCATAAAAGTTATTCCGTTTTAAAACGTGCACGAACGCTTTTGTCGGCTACTGTATGTATTTTATTTCATTCATATTTTGTTTAAACCATTTTTCTAAAATATATAATTTAATCACGAATATCAAACTATGTATATCCTTCTTAACCTTCTTAGCAGTTTGTGACGAAATGGGAACATTTCGTGTTATAAAGATTAGACTCGTCGAAAACAACTAATTGGCTAATAAACTCGATTAACTTGAAAATCAGAGATCTGTTCGATATTTCGGTGCGTAATTTCATAATTTTCGAGATGAAAATATGTCTTCAAGCACTTCGGAATCTTACGGGCGCTCGAATATTTGAGTCATTCGGAAAGATTCGAACGATCGACTCGGCTCGAACGATCTGTGTACTCGCAGGGGTCTAGCTGGTAAGCTATCACGGCGGACGGTCACAATATTAACCGTTTGCGTACCACGAGCCACTNGCCTATAACGTAAATTTAAAAAATGCCTCTCGCAGATCTCAGTAACTTATATGCATGCTGAAAATTTTATCGAGATCAGTTTACGTTATTATAAGTTACAACAAATTAAAGATGACAAAAATCGCAATTTCGATCAAATTTTCACCACGCATACAAGTTACCGAGATCTACGAGGGGCATTTTTTAATTTTTTGTTATAGATAAAAAAAAAAGTTAAAAAAACGAGAGTTCAATTTTTTGTCATCCCAAGTAATAGCAAAAATAAAAAAAAAAGTATTTTAATCGTGGTCTAATAGACTAGCCCCGCTATCATCTAAAAAAAAAAATTCAAGTCACCGAGTCCAGTTTTAAAAAAGTTATTTCGTTTTAAAAGGCGTACGCTCAATGTTGCGAGTAACTGTGCATATATGTTCTAATAATTTGTCTACGAACCTCGTCAACAGAAGCCAGATATCTGAGACTAACGTTTCGTTGAATCGCCTGGGTTACTACGTGCTCGGGATAACCGTCTACCTTTTCGCAATACGTGGATCCCTTGCAGGCAGGTACTCGTGAAATCATGTCAGGAAACACGATCTTAGCGTCCGACTGCATTTGTTCAAAACCTGCGAGAATACGTGTGTTTACGATTATAAAATAATCGAGATACCCGAAACTTTGATACGTTCTTAGGAAACAAAAAGGACTGATAAGTGAATCAATGTATTAAAACGTCCTATCCGCATTCTAATTTTCTACATACGTACAATGATATGTAGATATATATAATTAATATTATATTATTATTAATTATATTATTATATTAATATTATTATATTATATTAGTTATATATATAACTAATATATCGAAGAGAATAAGAGAGAAATTAATTGATAGGTACGAATTGGGGGGAATTTAAGAATTGTTGGCACGTATTTTCTTTTCTTTATGTACCTCTGTAACGTCTAATCGGGTATCTGATGGGCGTACGCCTGCGGTCTCTTCGTTGCGGTTCGTCATCGTTGTCGGACCAATCCTCGGTATCGTTCAAGTCCAATTCTGTCATAGTTTCTGGAACTGATTGTTGTTCGGGGTTCACCGCCGCCCTTGATTCCTCGACAGTGTCAAGAGATTGATCGGTGTCCTCATCTGCGTGGTATGGTAACGCACCCACGTTCAGTGCGATCTGCGAAAGCACATCCGATATATTAATCGAGATACGTCGCTTTAAAAAAAAATGTGCGTTTTGTGTACATATTATTCGACGTTCCGTTCGAGTCGTCGTCGCGCAAGCCCAAGTATGTAAGTACAGTGTAGTGTTAATGTCCCTTCAGAAAAACTAGAACTACCGTTACGTGTAAGTATGTATCCGGTATCCACACTCGCGGATCAACGAATACCGATTATCCTTTCTCTATTCAATGACTTACGCGAGTATTAATAATTCTGCACGCTGTGTGCTCGTTGCTGGCAATTTTAAACCTCGCAGGAATGATCGCGATTGACCAGTCACTGGATCAGTTACGGCCAACAAACGCTAGATAATAATATTTTTGTGTTTCTTGTTTCTCCCGGCGAACCACACGTGTAACGTTGTTCGATGCGTATCTGGCACGTGTGCGATCTCGCAGAAAGAATTTTACGCATCAGTGTACGAACGGTCAACTATGTTTACTTTATCCTTCATAATAAATCCTTCCAGGCTATGAAACATTATGCCAGACGATAACTATACTACACACGATTTACTTTTTATTCCCTACAACAAAGATCTATCGACATATATACTTGTCATATTTCATTGTTTTCCCTACCACTGTTTTCTGTAAAGTTTTTGCAACAGAAAACTCCATATATTATTTCTAATCGATGGAAAGTCGAAGGACCGAAAGAAGTCTTCCATATTCCTATTATCCTAGCTTTTCGAGTCGAATGCATCATTCGAGCTGTGCCTGATCAAGATAAACATCTTTACAATCTCTTCACTATCCGAAGAATAATTAGTCTTAACTCGTTTATTCCGTCCTTTGGTAACAGGGGTTCTCAGTCGTACCTCTAAAATTTCTCTAATCTTTCTCGAGTTTTCTATATCGAAGTTTCGGGGAATCATTGAGAGCTCCTGCGTTAAAATATGCAATCGATCACCGAAGTACGCTTGTAAGTTGTCGGCGGATGCGTTGTAAATTCTTGGTGGCGAAATCACCGTCGTGCTGTACACGATAAACTTGAAGATACCTAACAACTTGTTCGCTCAATAAATAGTAAGGGTATTTCGAAAGCAAAACACTTGTATTTTTTTTTGTTTTGACTTCTTCGGAAGATTATGGATTTCTGCGAAAGATATTACCACGAATCAGCAATGTAAATCCGAAGAAAATCTAATATATTGTATTTGCAAGACTGCCGGCACTTGTTAACATTAACCGCGACGGTCACTTTCCGTGCAGAATTAATCGGGCAACGCTTTGAATCGCCTCGACTTCACCGTCCTCTAATATAATTTCACGCAGACATTGACTTGATAGTTGAACTTTTTTTTCCGGTTTATCGGACATTCTTGTGCTGATAAACCCACTGACATTAACCGTCTACTTTTTCACAAATCCACCCTAGCTCGTGAAATACAGTTACACGACGACGATAACAGATCTCGGATTACGTAAATATGACCGGCCGGCTGCTAATTGCAGACCGTGCGTTAACTACATATGAAATATTATAGAGTATCACGATTCACAATTTTATACATCGTGGACGTGTTTCGAATCATTGGTTTACACGTCCAGTAATTGGACGTTATTCGACTGTCTGTAACGCATTTATTTCCGATAGCTTCGAACTGCTGAAATTCAAGATGCAACTACAGCACCGCCAAGTCGACTGTTTACAGATCACAAATCGAATGAAACTAGATCGAAGAAAATATATAAACGCGAATAATCGTGCGAATGAATACGGGAGACAAATTATGCGGCCTAAGCGAAGAAATCGCACAAATACTTTGATTGAAAACTGTACGGTACATATTGTTTGGTATCAAGTTCCCGGCAATTGCTGACTGCACGGGTTACTAACAGCGGACTAATGAGTTATTAACAGTAGACTTTTGAAAAAAACCACGTTTACTTACCGATAGGATTAAAAGACAAAGTGCTACGAATGCCAAGACGGGACTGCGATATTCTTGTCCCATTTTCTATAAATGTATCAACGTTGTCCAGATATCTCGAACGGGTTGCTCGGTTCTCGGTGACACGTGAAACCACAGCGCAAACACATGCACCGTTTCTTAGTAGGAAATGGTATTCTTCAGCACTGTGTTTGCAGTACGTCGTAGTCGCGTCGTCTAGTCCTGTGCCTCACGGCGATTTTCCACGGACAGCCCACTCGCGAGCGAATGGATTTTTCGAGATGGAAAACGCACTTAGACACTATGAATCGCAACCGATGCGAAAGAGGAGCGCTCGAAGCTGGACTCTGTCGTCGACGGACCACTCGACGATCCTTCACGTTCGAACGACGGATCACGATTGACGATTGAACTGCGGTGTGGTACTTGTAGCCGTCGCCTGTTGCCTGCCGAGCGCGTCAACTGTCTTCTTACAGGCCCAGACTAGGGACCCAAGGGGCGGAACCATGCAAAAGGGGGTGGATCCACCGATCTGACAATTGCGAGTACATCCCCCTCCGGAGTTAGGGGTGCAGAGCGTAGAATACGGAACAGGGCAGATCCACGGCTTCATGCAATTAACGGTTTACTTGCCGGAAACCTAATTCTTTAGTGAAAATAAAACTTTAGATGCTTCTTTTAATTAATCATTCTAAGTAAACTTATTCGTAGACTCGGAATCTTTGGAAGTTTATTACGTTACGGTTACATTATTCGAATTGTTGATTTTAACGAAACGATTTTCAATTTCTTTCAATTTCGAATTTCTTTCGATTGCATAAGTATTCATAAATATTTGATTCGTAATACGGTAGAACTCCTTTATATAAACGCATCGGAAGGAAATCAGTTCATGCCACTGTAGGTTCATGTAATAAGAGTCCGCTGATTTATCCTCACTACTCGTATCTTTTCGTTCAAATAACCGGAGTCCGCGTTCAGACAAATGGATTTAACCAACCCTGATTTCTAACAAGTGTTACTGTACTATTTTTGCCGCAAATAACATATATATTAAATAAATAACTCATAAATGTATCTTTACACAATCTGAATAATCGCAAATTAAAAAATTAGTGGCTCGTTATTTTGACGGATTCCGTAAACCTAATGTTAATTAATTTCTGAGATGATAACAATACTTGAGCCTTTACGAATATAAGGATAATAATTTGGTAAATCATGATGAATAAATTACTTTTCCAAATGTAATCATAACAACTGCATATATTTTGTATTACTTAATAAACATACAATACTATATACGTAATATACAGGGTCAATCCGGGGATTCCTGAGGTCAATTGAAGCAACGTTTTCCTTAGCGAAAATACAATCCGCGGCATTGTTTACGAGTTATTAACGAAAAACAGTGACGACCAATCAGAGGCGAGATCATTTGGTGCGAGACGGCCGAGCCAATGAGCGGAACTGGGCTCCGTGCACTCGTTGGCTGGGCCGCCGCGCGCCAATAAAAAAAAAATTAATATTAATAACTAGATGCGTAATGTATGTTTTACATACCGTTAAATGTTATATTCTTGTTTCGCTTCCTTCTAATCAAAAACCTGCAACATACGTACATTTCGCACGAACAATAAACATGTTTTATTGTTTTCTAAAATGGTTTGTTAAACTTTAGGGAACAAGTTGACTGGTATTTATGTATCGAGCGGATTTACGAACAGAAAGGAAGTCCGAAGCAGGTGGACAGCTAGTACGGGGGATCAACTCGGTTACCTGCCGATTTCTTCGTTCAGCCCTGCCGACCGTAATAAAAGGATCATAATGTAGTTGACGCTTAGGTTTTGCGAGTCAGGCCTATACCCGAAATAATTGTAAAACGTTCCGTCACCAACCCTGTTAATCTGCAATGTCTACATTTTACTTTCCTAGGTTCGGGTCTCGAGTGAAATTCGGGTACATACCGTCATAAAAGATAACTGTGGATTTGTATGCATTTATGGGATATACCGATTTATGACATGTATGAAAACGTATAAATTAACAAAGTTTAACAGCATTCCGATTTTCTTTTTGCAGTAAATAATTCTTTAAACAATAAAAGAAATTTTTGTCTATTTCTAATTTTTGTGAAATGTTGTATGAAAATGAGATTTTATATAGAAACCCACAGTCCTGTTACAAGTTTTTGTAGAAACATACAACGATAACAGAATAATAAAATTGAAATAAACTGTTTTATATTTTACAAATATAAAAGTAATTCATTATTTATTTTTATTTAATCGAGCACTATAGGAAAAACGCGCAGAATTGATTGTATATGTTTGAAATTTATGCGCGTGCGACGTTACTTCGATTTGAATCTCGTAATGTCCGATATAAAAAGCGTTTTATCTTTCTTGTGCCAACATTTTAAACTATCGGTCAATGTTTTCATTAAACCTGAATATTTTAGACTAGCAAAATTTAATGATTGTGCGGAAAATGTTGTAAGCATTTGCCAGAGTTTTTCCATAACCTCTATATGCGACGCTATATAAACTGTAGGCAAAATATTGGTCGATGATTTATTTTCTGTAATAGGTTATGGTATTCTGGGTAGTATTAAACGTCTTGAATTATCACGTTATGCAAGAAAAGCAGGTCGATATTGACTTTCAACATTATGGTAAATTTCTTTGGTTAAGTGCATTTCAGTTTATTAACTCATTTGTAAATGTATATTACGTTTTTCATATCAGTCACTACTACCATGTACTAAAATCGAGCATATTTTTAGATACAGTGTGAGCCACAAAATTGTATTTTGCATATCTACAGTATCCTTCTATCGAATTTTATGCTTCTAATAGACACGATAAAAACAGCAGATACTTATTATTAGCATTTGCTTGGCTTCTTGTAACACAAAATACTCTAGACATTTTAATTAGGAAAATTCTTTCAAACAGTGCTCTTGGAAGGGAATGCTCGAAACCAAACAATTCAGAAGTAGTCTAAAACTTAGTTATAATTTAAATTTGATTAAAAATTATATATTTCTAAAGAACTGTTTGCTTTTTAAGAAAGAAAAGTATTGCACAATTTGCTAGAAACCTTGGTTGCTCAGCTAGATAGTATTATACATTTAAATGGTAAAGTGAATTACAATATCAGAGAGATATATAATCTTGTTTCAAGAGAGCTAATTTAGTAAGCAGAGTTCATGCTGCAACCATCAATGTCAGTGGTTTTCCTCATTTGAGTGTATCAGAACCAGCTTTAGTGAAACGTATTGCAACTACTGATAAATGTTAGCTTTCTAAGGAATATGAAAGATACTTGTAGGAATTACACATTGCAGAAAACTTACTGGATAGAAATTCTAAATAGTAGAGAAAAGAGCACATATTCTTTGAATGGATGGTATATCGTATATACATTAATACATGTTTCACCTAAAAGGATCATATTGTAATAATAGAAACCCAATTTTCAGGTAACAGTAGTACAAGAACACAAAAAGCATTCAAGTTCGAGTTCTCCTGATATCGACTGGAATGAAATTTTCAAATTTATAACTATGTTACATTGTATCATGCAATGATAATTCGAAGCTTTTTTGTCTCAATATAACCATGGCTGTGAGGACCAAGAATTCACAGCTGCATCACGGTTAATGAGGGTGCCAAAGGATTGTGATGCAATGGAGGATCAGTTGATAACGATGTCAGCAGAATTGGAGAGAGAAACGAAAAGTCTGTCAGAACACAAGGAAAAGTTATCCGAGAAATTGAAAAAACTTTTACATATAATTCCTTCCTGTACACAACTTTGACGGTTTATAACAAAATAAAAAAGAAAGACGCAAACACGCGCTTGAACAAAATAATATGTTATAGTTATAGAGCACCTAAGCGTCACCACTCCATCAACCACCCCAAACGATGATATGACCACATTGAGAATAGTCACCAGAAATATGCCGATCACTGTCCAGTTGTTCGCACTCAGCCTTGCACATTTGAGCATTGTCCTTGATATTGTATCTGCTGTTCCAAATCAAACCTATCCCCACTGCAATCTGAAGAAATAGTCTGGCACCTATCATGACCAGCGATGGATAGAAGTATGAATGCTCTCTGTCGGTCTCTAGAATGTAATGTAACTGATTGGCATTTGCTGACAACAGAGTCAGGTCCATCGTTCCATGGGCCAAGGTTTTCTTGTGCTGGCAAATATTAACATCGGGAATGAGTTCGCGTTCAGATATATAAGTCTGAAGTGGATCTACTATCTAGTTTGTCTGAGGAATGATCACAATCGACGATTCTTTTCCTGACTCGTGGTTGTCTCTCTCCAATCCAGGGGTTCACAAAGGGTTGTTCGAATTGTCTGTCTGTAACGGAGAATCAAATAGAAGTTTCATGACAACAGCTTTGCATTCCTCGCTCGACAGTGGCTGAGCTGCCTCCGTGATGTCTGTGATGTCATCCATCCACAGAATTTCATCCCCGTTATGTTTCAATAGATCCATATTTTTATATAAACTGTTTGGCAATCCTAATGTTCGATTTCAGGCGAGACGGAACGGTATTTGATACGCACCCTTATCAGTGTACAGGAAATGTACGGTTCTGAAGGTCCAACATTAGGAGAAGTAGCTATCGGGTTCACTGGTTACTTATCTCTGTAACACAATTACGAAAATGGAAGTTTGCGGTTTGCGATTTGTGATCTATACCGTTTTCGACTAATTGACGACGCGTGCAACAATAGCTTAAGAAAATTGTTCAGAGAAATCTTGACCGAGCTGTAAATTGAAATAGCAAACAATTTCGAAACATTGCTGAATGAAAAAAATGCATTCATGATGAGAGGGTGTAATTAGCGCAAAAAGCTATTAAAAAACTCTATAAATCTTTGCCAAAGAGAATGATAGCTGTTATTAAATGTAAAGGAGGAACCACAAAATATTAGGCATTAAATGTCATTCATTGGTTCATTGCTATAGATAATTTTTAATTAAATGTTCTATCATTTTGTCCCATTGCATTTCCATAAAAATTCTTTTTTCTCATTTGTGTATGTTTATAGTAGTATAGTAAATTCTCCCCACCAATTGTCCTTCAACTCGTACACAAAAATGGACAACTTGGGAAGAGGGGATACGATTATTCGAGTCTCGCGGCTCGTTTTTATAGTTGCCGATTATCAACAACTATAAAAACGAGTCCGAAACTCGAATAATTATATCCTCTCTTCCTAATTTGTCTATTTTTGTTTACAAGCTGATGGACAATTGGGAAGAATTTATTGTATTTGCAAGTTTGCATAGAAACAAAACTTTGGTTGTAATGTTAACTAAATAAAAATTATATTAATTTCAAAGTACGCTATCATTTTGTTCCGGAGTGTAGGAATTTGTTGATTATCCTCACTACATACTTGTAAATTTTCATTCAAATAACCGGAGTTTGCGTTCAGATAAATAAATTTAACCAACCACCTAGCACTAGATATACGGAGTACTAAAAGCAGCTGTTTTATGTTTGTTTATAAAAGTAACAGCAAGACATTTACTCTAATTTTTAACAAGTGTTACTGCAATATTTTGCGGAAGTAACGCATGTATTAAATAAATAATCCATAAATGCATCTTTACACACACAATCTGAATAATCGCAAATTAAAAAATTAGTTACGCCCGATATTTTGACGGATTCCGTAAACCTAATGTTAGTTAACTTCTGAGATGATAACAATATTTGAACCTTTACGAATATGAGGACAATAATTCGGTAAATCATGATAAATAAATTATTTTTGAAAATGTAGACATAACAACTGTATATACTTTGCATTGCCTAATAAACATGCAATACTATATACGTAATTTATGTAATAAAACAGAAAAATTAATATTAATAACTAGATGCGTAATGTATGTTTTACATACCGTTAAATGTTGTATTCTTGTTTCGCTTCCTTTTAATCGAAAACCTACAACATACGTATATTTCGTACGAACAATAAACACGTTTCATTATTTTCTAAAACGGTTTGCTAAACTTTACGGAACAAGTTGTCTTGTATTTACGTATCGAGCGGATTTACGAACAAAAAGGAAGTCCGAAGCAGGTGGACAGCTAGTACGGGTGATCAACCCGCTTACCTGCTTCGTTCAGCCGTACCGACCGTAAGGTAGTAGGCGTTTAGGTATTGTGAGTCAGGCCTGTACTCGAAATAATAGTAAAACGTTCCCCGTCACCGTTCCTTTTAAACTGTGTCTGCATTGTCTACATTTATTTTCCTCCGTTCGGGTCTCGGGTGAAATTCGGGTAAATACTGTCATAAAAGATAACTGCGGATTTTTATGCATTTATGGGATATACAGATTTATGAAATGTATAAAAACGTATAAATTAACAAAGTTTAACAGCATTCTGATTACAAGTTTTTGTAGAAACATACAACGATAACAGAATAATAAAATTGAAATAAAATGTTTTATATTTTACAAATATAAAAGTAATTAATTATTTTATGTTATTTAATCGAGCACTATAGAAAAAACGCGCGGAATTGATTGTATATGTTTGAAATTTATCCCCGTGCGACGTTACTTCGATTTGAATCTAATAATGTCCGATATAAAAAGCGTTTTATCTTTGTTGTGCCAGCATTTGAAACTATCGGTCAATGTTATCATGAAACCTGAATATTTTAGACTAGCAAAATTTAATGATTGCGCGGAAAATGTTGTAAGCATTTGCCAGAGCTTTTCCATAACCTCTATATGCGACGCTATATAAACAGTAAGCAAAATATTGGTCGATGATTTATTTTCTGTGATAGATTAAGGCATTCTGGGAAGTATTGAACGTCTTGAGTTTTCACGTTATACAAGAAAAGCAGATCGATATTGACTTTCAACATTATGGTAAATTTCTTTGGTTAAGTGCATTTCAGTTTATTAACTCATTTGTAGATGTATATATATATTACGTTTTTTATATCAGTCACTACTACCATGTACTAAAATTGAGCATATTTTTAGATACAGTGTGGGCCACAAAATTGTATTTTGCATATCTACAGTATCCTTCTATCGAATTTTATGCTTCTAATAGACACGATAAAAACAGCAGATACTTATTATTAGCATTTGCTTGGCTTCTTGTAACACAAAATACTCTAGACATTTTAATTAGGAAAATTCTTTCAAACAGTGCTCTTGGAAGGGAATGCTCGAAACCAAACAATTCAGAAGTAGTCTAAAACTTAGTTATAATTTAAATTTAATTAAAAATTAGATATTTCTAAAGAACTGTTTGCTTTGTAGGAAAGAGAAGTATTGCACAATGTGCCAGAAACCTTGGTTGCCCAGCTAGATAGTATTATACATTTAAATGGTAAAGTGAATTACAATATCAGGGAGATATATAATCTTGTTTGCAAGAGAGCTAATTTAGTAAGCAGAGTTCATGCTGCAACCATCAATGTCAGTGGTCTCCCCCATTTGAGTGTATCAGAACTAGCTTTAGTGAAACGTATTGCAACTGCTGATAAATGTCAGCTTTCTAAGGAAGATGAAAGATACCTGCAGGAATTACACACTGCAGAAAATTTACTGGATGCACATTCTAAATGGCAGAGAAAAGAGCACATATTCTTTGAATGGATGGTATATCGTATACACATTAATATATGTTTCACCTAAAGGGATCGTATTGTAATAATAGAAACTCAATTTTTAGGTAACAGTAGTACAAGAACACAAAAAGCATTCAAGTTCGAGTTCTCCTGATATCGACTGGAATGAAATTTTCAAATTTATAACTATGTTACATTGTATCATGCAAGGAAAATTTGAAGCTTTGTCGTCCCAACATAACCATGGCTGTCAAGACCAAGAATTCATAACTGCATCACGATTAATGAGGGTGCCAAAGGATCGTGATGCAATGGAGGATCAATTGAGAACGATGTCAGCAGAATTGGAGAGAGAAACGAAAAGTCTGTCGGAACGCAAGGAAAAGTTATCCGAGGAATTGAAAAAACTTTTACATTTAATTCCTTCCTGTATACAACTTTGATGGTTTATGACAAAATAAAAAAGGAAAACGCGAACACGCGCTTGAACAAAATGATATGTTATAGTTATAGAGCACCTAAGCGAGTCTCACGTCGTGGGAAGAGCCGTCGCCACTCCATCGACCACCCCAAACGACGATATGAACACATTGAGAATAGTCACCAGAAATATACCGATCACTGTCCAGTTGTTCGCACGTTCAGCCTTGCACATTTGAGCATTGTCCTTGACGTTGTATCTGCTGTTCCAAATTAATCCTATCCCCACTGCAATCTGAAGAAATAGACTGGCACCTATCATGACCAGCGATGGATAGAAGTATGGATGCCCTCCGTCGGTCTGTAGAACGTAACGTAACTGATTGGCATTCGCTGACAACAGTGCCAGGTCCATCATTCCTTGGGCCAAGGTTTTCTTGTGCTGGTAAATATTAACATCAGGAGTAGGCTGAAGTGGAGGTACTATCGGGAAAAACGGAGTCAAGCTGTCTGGAAATTTCGGATGATCTGACTGTGGTGTCCGAGGATCCTTTGGTAGCAAGCCATCGTCTATTCCCCGATGATCGAACCCGATCGGCGGTTTTCCTTCCGGCTCGAGGTCGTCGATCTCCGGTCCAGAGGTTGGCCGAGGGTTGTTCGTATTGTCTGTCTCTAACAGAGCACCAAATCGAGGTCCGATGGCAACAGCTTCGAATTCTTTGGACGTCAATGGCTTAGCTACCTCGTCCGTGATGTCGTCCATGTACAGAATTTCATCCCCGTTATGTTTCAATAGATCCATATTTCTACACGGACTGATTGTCAATCTTAATGTTGGCTTTCGAGCGAGACAGAATGCTATTCGATACGCACCCCTATCAGTGTACAGGAAATGCACGGTTCTGAAGGTCCAACATTAGGGCAAGTAGCTGTCGGGTTCACTGGTTACTTATCTTTGTAAGACAATAACGAGAATTGAAGTTTGCGGTTTGCGATTCACGATCTATACCGTCTTCGGCTAAATGTGCGACGCGTGCAACAATAACTTATGCCAGCACACCACCACCACCACCACCGCGCTCGGACCAAACAGATCTGCTGGCCACGCGATCATAGGAACGCGAACTTCCTCCTATTCACTCGATGAAAACAGGCTGATTCACGATCGGCGTTCGTGATGTCATCATTAGAACGTCACAACTTCCTTGAACATTGGATTTACCAGCCGGTCAGAGCTATTATTCCGTTAATTCAATGCTGCACGCATTATTGTTGTAAAATGTTACATTTTATCTAGCACGTTCGCTCGAATTCATTAAGCGAGTCATTAAGTGGTGCCTTGGAATGGGCTTTCACCTAAACCCTCCGGTGTCTAGAACACTGTTAGAACACTGTTATTAGTTACGTGCTATTGTCACGTGTTTTACGAGGAAAATGAAAATGACGTTCTCTTCTGTTGGCTCGAGTCAAGGCTTTTTATGCGACTGACAGTGGGAAGTAGGGGAATGGCATTACTCCAACGAAACCTTGTAAGATCGTCGATGTACTATAAATAATATGTAACGGTGGTTCATGCGATCCACTAATCAACATGCTGCTCTGCTCGAAATAACGAAAGTAACATAAATAACACACAAAGCGGACATATCCCCGTTGCATTGTCGAAAAGTTGGTTCTGCTATCGTACTGAAAATCTGTACTGAAAAAAATGGTAAAATCGAGGCATATATTTCTTGTCGAGTCTTTGCTGCCAGTAGTGTAAAACGTGTGCCCTCTCCGCGAAGAGTCGTAAAGTTTGAAATTCATGATCTCGTGATCGGGATATTCCAAACAAGTTAGCTCTGTACTTTCCCGCAGTTGTCAATGACACGGAGCACGTTTTACCGGCACAGCTTGTTGCTGCTACCAGCGTACAGCGATACGACTGGACAGACGGCTATTGCGCAACCATACTGGGAGCAGACTATATTCACGTATTCAAACGTTTCCTGCCTCTGAATCTCTCTTTGGGGAACCACTCGCGTCTCTCTATTTTTATACGAGGAAAAGCGAATCTCGCGAATTCTATGAATCACTGGTCGAGGAAACACGAACCTACGCTCGATCGTTATAATGATACGCTATCACGGCTTCTCCAAGAAGCATTATTTATTTATTCATTCATTTATTTATTTATTTAAGGATGAGAAAATCGTTTGGATTACAATACAGAGAATAAACAGCGTTGAAAACGAATGAAGAGATAAGGAAAAAGTCCACGGAATCGTAGATATTGTTTGTTGCTGATTAGAACGCGATTAATACAGTTGTCTTGGACTCGTGGCAGATGTGATGGAACAATTAAGTCTGAACTGTCGCAGTATATTTGAGCATGTAACATCGTCATTCGATATTTTAAGCATTACACTCGGAAATGACTGGAACAATATCGCATCTCTGGTGTCTGTAACTAGCTACAACTGTGACTATAACTATGTATGCAGGATCATGGTATCGAACTAGCGCGTCGTCAAGCAAACAATCGTTCCTGTTAACCGAGATTAGGGAGGCAGACAAGAGAGAGGACGGCATTCCTACAGTCGCGTTCAAAGCGCGCAGGTTGCTCGAAGGAGTTTGGGGACGACGAAGTTCTTTCGTCCATTGGCATTGGTCGACCTTGAGCAGCCTTTGTTCCGAGTTCAGCTTATCGCTGATTCACGGGCCGATCAAAGCGATCTGTTCCGAATCTCTATGGATAGACTGACTTGAAAGAACGGAAACACCATGAAGACTCAAAAGTGCTGCGCTCATTGTCCGGGGAAGCTGGTCAATTCTGCAAGAGCCAATGGATTTCACGAATGCTGTCAGCCCAAGTACGTCACCGGGAACCTGAAGATACCTTCCCTGTCCGATCACGCTTGCGATTGCCCCAAGAAGAGAAAGACCGAGGAAGATGTCGCGGAGACACCGAAGAACACGAACACCGATGCTCGACCATCTTGCTACGAGCACTTCGCTTTGGCGAAGAAACTGCACGCGGAGAACTTGGACCATCAGCCACTGCCGGACAAAGTCGACGACATTGTGTTCAAGAACACCGGTCCGGAAAGGTCGTGACATCGGTCCTGACATGGGTCCTGACATCGGCATCCGAGCGGAAGACACAGCCACAGCGGTTGCAGCCGCTGCAATCAAGAATCCGACGATCCGGCGAGCAGGCCGGCCGGAAGGTACGGGCCGAGCTTGGGTTGCAAGGAGCCGAAAACGAAGATGGACTTGGCTATCTGTTGGGAGACTCCGATAGATCCTGTCTACGAACCGCCTAGACCCAGCCACATCGACGGCTCGGAGGGCGGTCTCGCGCCAGCCATCTTCACGTTGGTTCACCGGGCTACCAGCTCGACGAGTTCTCTTCGCTCCGACGCTAAAAGCCACGAGCGTTGCGCGAAACGTCGAACAGTTCGTTCGGGGAACAAAGAGGAAACCGACAACGGTAAAAGCTGCTGCTGCGATTGCCTCTGCAAGAGACTCGACGGTGTCAGCATATCGAAGCAAAAGGAAGTAGAAGAACGTCCCCGAAGAGCCGCTTTCAGAAAGTGCGTCGCCTGCGAGCCGAGAGATCTCACGGACGATCCTAGGCTGATCAAGTCGGCCGTGGGACTGGCTCTGGGCATTGAGAAGAAAGAAGATCAGAAGAAGAAGCTTATAGTACAGAGACCTAGGACTCCGTTCGCCAAGCGGTCTTTTCGCATCGACACCTTGGCCCCGCCCTTCAGCGTTATGAGCGGATGCAGAGGCGCAGACTACCCGGAACACTGGAGGCTTATGTCGGTTTACCAACAGTCTTACAGAAACCCGCATAGGCGAAGAAATTATCGTTGTTAATTACCTTCATTTATGATACCGTCTAAGATAGAATTAATTCCATCATCGTTGGCGCAAGTAACGGCAGCACGTACACATGTAGATGATTTAGAAGAAATTGTGAAACAGTGATGCTGCGACATGTCCAAGTAACGACTCGTAAGATGACGACGCTATTGACTTGTTGACAGTTTGCTTCGATGCGTTGATGGTTTGCTACTGGTTGGCTTGCTGGCAGTTCTTCGATCGCGCTTGATGCTACTTATGTTGATGTACTGGAGCCTCACGGAGGTGTCCATATCGCAGGCCTCCTCTAGACCCGGGTTGTCCTCCAAGTTTTTGAGGACGACGTTCTGCAAACGGTTCAACAGATCCGGATATCTGAATATGTAGCGACGGAAATCGTCGCGTTCCAACACGCAAATCTCGCATGTCTCCACCGCTATCACGGTAGCAATTCTCAACTCGGTTTCCATCACCAACGCGATCTCGCCGAAGTAACTTCCGTCTTCCAGATGGCAAACCTATTTTTCGTATCAAGTTCCAGTCATTAGTTCTAGTCATTTAGTCCTGTTGAAACGATTAACGATCGAATAATATTACCTCTTTTCCGTTAGCAGTGTAAACCGCCACCGTGCCGGATGTGATAAAATAGAGGGACTCGCCGCGCGTACCAGCTTTAACAATCTTATCGCCGCTCATGTAGATCTCCGAACGCAACGCGCTCGTCAACTGCGCGACCACGCACTCCGGCAGATGTTTGAATAGAGCCACGTTGGAGACCAGCCTCAGATAGTTGTGCAAAATCAACTCCTGAAAGTAGAGCCAGTAGGTCCGATTAGAGATTTTAATGGCCGGGGACATCTGGAGAACCGTTTATCCATCGAACGGACTGGACGTGTGGCAGCTGAACGCACACCTCTCTCAAGTAGGGCGAGACCTCGTCTATTATCTTTTTGTTCCTCTCGAAGCGCTTCTTGTTCCGATACATGTAGTAAACTAGTAATCGACGTTGCAGAGCTTGTGGAAGCTCCTTGTACCGCATGTATTCTTCTAATTGTTGCATAATCTTTAGCTGGCGCTTGATCGTTATGTGGAACGTTGTTAACAAGGCGGCCAATTGGGCTACGATTGGGCCGATCGCACGTTCAATCGGATGTGATTACAACAAATGGATTGAAAAACTACGAAGAAACATAAACCGAGCACCGCTTACTTATCGAGTACACGAAACCCATGAACCCGATGAAAGTCAGTAGCAGATTCAGTAGGATATCTTCCGGCGTTTTCATGTCCAAATAATGCGCGGAACGAACCAATGCGGTAATCGCGCGATTCAAGCACACCAAATAACGTTCCGTACTGGTTTCCTTGCTCCGGAAAAATTCGGAATTAATCCAAGATCTGAAAACAGAGGTTCGCTGTCCTACTACTGTATTTAATTTATTTCTATAAATCAGAAAGCTGTCGGCTAACAGGATTCCCGTAGATCCTAATTAGTACATTCTCACAAACAACTATCGATTTTGCAACTTATACTTTTGCAAATTAAGCATAGACAGGGATACCGACTGACTGCTCAAAGTGCCCAGATACTCCACGCAGATAGGAATGTAGTATTCGAAGCAAGCGGCCCAATGTATACTCAATCCGACAACGATGATCGTTTCCAGGATCTTGTACGTTTGATAGTTTATCCGGTACACCTGAAACCGAGCATCGACGAATTTACGAGCCATCGCACATCGATTCAGCGTCGTCGCGAAACTAACACCGTGGAGCCTGCGGGAGTAGACGATTATGTTGCGAATTCGTAAGAACTTCATCATGTTCAAAGCGGTGCAGAACCATTTCCAGTGGGGGAAAATCCCGTCCACGGAGGTGATCGGTAGCGCGGTCATTACGTCGATTAGGAAATACTTCCTGAGATACTTTCTGCACACATCATTGGGAAAGACTTTAAACGACCTGTTTAATCGTGTTTTTTCATTCTCGCGGCGGCCTTGGCCCGAAAGCCGAAAACGTCGTTTAATGGAAAGATAATTGGTCGAACGTACATCGCCACTATCCTCGGGTCCAGAACTATAACTTTAGTCTGGTAATCGTAATAACCCGTGAAGAACCACAGTACAATGTCGCACAAAAATACAAGGTTTACCATGTCTGTGATCACGTGCCAAATGTCGTTGTTCTGGAAGTAAAACGTAATCGACACTGGAGTGACCACGAGGGCGACCACCGTGAATATCGTCATAAACAATTCCCAAAAGATGCTGCGAAAGACAGGTGAAAGAAATGTTTGATAGCAATTCTGTAGCGTTGCCGAAATGTTCGTTTAACTTGCATAATTTATCTAATGTTTAAACCGAAGCTGATTCTCAGTCTAGCGTAAGTTTACCGCATAAATGTTCGCGATTTATAATGTACTAGTGTCTATATAAATGTCGAATATATATGTATACGCTGTGTTGCCTGGTAAAAATATCAATAGAATGAACGGATTTTTGCCATAATTCGAATCCACCTGAACGAACTGAAAGGATGGATCATATAGGGATGAGATTTCACGTGTCTCGAGATCTCGTAATTCACCGCGGTCGTGCTCTTTAAGCTCCAATGGGTCAAATGATGTCGCTGCGATAAAATTCGTTGACGCAGGAACCATCTAGCTAATTTCGCCCGAACCGAGTCGCCCTTTATCGCAGTTTCTACGTAGTCCTCCTCTTTTTGCTGTTCGCAAACATGTTCGAGTACCGGTGCACGCTGCATCAATCAAGAAACGAGAAACTTTCCATTATTTTCACAAAGCTTTTCAACGTATATAATAGCTTACAACTTATGGAACAATAATATAGACCTTCCACTTTTCTTAATTCGCTTTTAATATCTTTCTAATTGGATATTGTGTGACTCAGAAAAGTGTTTACCGACACCGTTCAAGTTAGGATGGGATATTACAAACGAGTGGAATTTTTAACTTGATCGCCACTTATAGATACCGATCGTTAATCGTCGATTCGATTATGCTCAAAAACTCACTTCGACGTGCGGCGCCTCTGAAAAATGAGGGACATAAGCCATTAAATCCATGGTTTAAATCTTATATTTGATCAATCAGTTCTGACAACACGAACGACTCGCTCATGGTATGAGACGTGAATAGACTTTGAAATAGAAAAAGAAGATCGACGTGAACCCTTCGATCAATTGTTTTTAAATCATTGACAGTAGTTCGAATAGTCGAAGATGACGCGTTAATTTGTCACTCGTGCCTGGATACGTTAAAAAAAAAAAAGAAAAAATAAGAGATAAGTTAAGACTTATCTCTTATTTTTTTCGGATTCAACGATATTATGTAATGCACAATTCTTTAACAAAGGATTCGTTCGATTCACAGTATACATATATACATGTATGTACATCGTTAGCACGAGTACGTCATGTCTCGCGGATTTTGATGTATCCGTGGAGCACGTGACACCCGTAAAAACAGCTGTAGCACAGCTGAGCAATGTTCTGAATGTCGCGTAAACATTTCGCGCGTACTCACGGATTTTTAATCCGTACTTCCGGCTGTCGACGTTTACGGGATTAGTGAATTATTTCACGACATTATTTTATTACGTTTATGCTATGCCGATGACATCCGATAATAACGCTTGTGTACGAAACATGACAGATTTTGAAAGTATTCAGTTGCCCATAGACGTAAGTTTTCTTTGTCATAATATTTTTTCGTTTCGATAATTGTACAGTATTTTTATAAATTGCTCTATTATTTTAATCCACCTCTGTTCCTAGGGCGAAAATCTTTGCATAATGACTCGATAGCTTAACCTAACAACGATACATTTATCTGATAAGATAATTAATTGCACAATAATGCATAGCTTGTAGATTAAATTTATTAACGTCCGGTTTTCTGCTTTAATCGTTTTGTTCTTTGCTCACAACCGTGTGATTTTGCTTTCAGACAATTATACACATATTATCGTATCTATCTACATCCGACAGGCTGTCAGCAAGACTAGTCTGTCATTCATGGAGGGAGGCATCGCTTGCTATGAAATTTGTTGATCGAGAAACGCTAGTTCTTGGTTCGCCTCCAGCGGACAATCTATGTCAAGTAATGGAGGTACTCCAGCATTCTACACGACCATTTTATCACTTTGTTTTTAGAGAAGTAGAGTTAAAGAGGAATATGCCGGTGTGGGATCATTATGGACCTATTATAAAGAGTCTTGTACTGGTATGACTTATTATGCATTTTGATGAACGATATCAAGATGTAGCTCTTCTCTAATTCTGTATATTTCCTTTTTTAGGTGTGCTGTGATCTAAGCGAGAGGATGTTGGTAGAAATTCTAAAATGCTGTAGCTCCTTAAAAGTATTACGTATAAATGCCTGCAAAGAATGTTTAATGTCTGGCAAACTTTTGGAAGATGAAAACGACATAAAAGAGCTCTCAGAGACGTTTAAAAGCTTGCGAGAGCTTAGTCTCGATTACAATAGATTTTTAAGCGACCTTTTATTTAATAGATTAGTTTCCATTTGCACAAATGTGGAATCGTTGAATCTTATGGGTTGTCAAATATCTTTCCACAGTGGATTATACAAAAAGTTTTACCCTCAGAACCGTATAGAATTACCGGCAGCGTCAAATTCGGTTCTGACCTTTTTAAATACATTACAGTATCTTAAACGACAAGCGCATAAATTGAAGCACTTGAATTTCGGATACACTCTGATCGATGGCACAGCGTTGGCTACTTTAGCGGCCTTAGAGGATTTAAAATTGGAATCATTGATGTTGCAAAGTTGCTATCAATTGACTATTGAAGGCATCAGAGGTCTGACTCAGCATCAACCATGCTTGAAAGTCCTTGACATTAGTTTCTGCGTACGAATTACTGATGCCAGTCTGCTTTGCATTTGCAAAAATTTGACAAAGCTGGAAATATTTCGGATAAAAAGGTGTCGCGCGGTCACTGACAACGGTGTACAGTACATTCGACTACTAAGAAACCTGAAAGAGCTCGACATCTCGGAAGACGAACAACTCACTGGAGACTGTATAACTCGCGGACTTTGTTCACATCAACGTGCAAACGATAATCTCGAAGAAAACGTCGAATTGGGAAATGTAAATCACAGATCTACAGGCGAAGATTATGATGCGGAAAAGACCGTACAGAAGAAGAGTATGCAGATATTCTCTGCGAACGCATTGCATCTTCACGAGGAATCGATCGAGTGCATATCTAAGTCGTTTCCTAATTTGAGAGTACTCGAACTTAGTTATTGTTTTAGCGGTGTTACAGACAAAACAATACAGGTGCGTAGAATTATTCTTTTATTCTAGTATACTCTCACAGTAAGGTCTTCCAGTATTATATGCGTAAAGAATATTCCTCTGAATTAGATAGAAGGTATTTCATTGTTAGATTTGACGCTGACTGTTCTCCTACACTTTCAGAAATTGCTAAATGTTAAAAGAGTCGGTGTAAATCATATATTTTTGTATCAACGATGCTGCTCATTCATATAAAAGTAAGTTTATCTTTTATAGATGATATTCAAGGAGCTTGTACATTTGCAAACATTAAAAATAAGCCATTGCGATAAGGTCAGTGACGCCGGCTTGACGGGTATGGGTGCTGGTAGTCACGAACGCGTCGAAAACGTTCAGGTTGTATATAAACCAGAATTTCCAGGAACCAGGTTAAGAATTAGTTTACGGTCGAGGGCTGAGGAAGAGATAGTACGAGACGCGGACCGAAAGCGAGAAGTGATGAAACTCTGTGAGAATGTATCCAGACCCTTAGACATGAACAAGTCTGTGTTTTCATTGAACAGGCTTAAACGCCTGCGGGAATTAGATCTTTCTGGTTGTAATAAAATCACCGATGTCAGTTTAAAACATGCATTTGCATTTCCAGAACTGAAAATATTGAACTTGAGCCAGTGTCAGCAGGTAGCTAGAAAATTTATGCCAATTAAATTGTATGCCAATTTTAAATTAATACTTCCTTTAATTAAGTGGTACTTTTTTGCAGGTGACGCAAATAGGATTAGATTATTTATCCAAAAATAATCCAGCAATCGAAGACCTGAACCTGAATGCGTGTCACAATATATCAGATATTGGAATATTATATCTGGCACAAAGGCTGCATAGATTGAAACGGCTTCTTATACAGGTAACTGATGCATAGGCCAATAAGATAATAATGAAAAAAGTATCGTCAGATCTTTTCAAGAATTCTTTAATTTATAGGCATGCTCACAGCTAACGGATCACACCCTCGACTCTATTAAACTGTATTGCAAGAGTCTTCATTACTTGGATACCCGCTACTGTCGCGGTATGACAGTGGCAAGACTCGAAAGTTTGACGCACCTATACGTGGACTGGATCAAACATATGGATGATCTTGATATTCCTGGAAGCGAGGTACTTCCACCACCAGCTCCACCTTTGCCGTCGTTACCTTCTTTGCCATAGAGACGGCTTCAATATCTGCTTTCGCATTTCAAAGATAGGGTAAGAGAAAACTGAAGTGAAGTATGTATTATTTCACGAAAATTATACAAATTTAAAATATTTCAGGATGGATAGTACAATTAAGCAGGAGTTAAGATAATTGTGTAGCATAATAATTTGTACTGTCCATCCAGAAGTGGTGTATAGTCACAAGATTTAAAGCCGATCAAAAGATAGTGAAAAAGGTACATTTATCATCGATTTGTCGATGTCTATTTCCATGTGTGTGTGTGGCAGAAGGATTATAACACGAATTTTATTCACAACTAGAATCAATATTTTATAATTGTTATCGAACGGCACAAAGCCAGTCAGTTTTTTCATACACACTTTCCATCTTTAAACGTTAATAATATCAATAATAATAATATTTAACGTTACACACAAAGCAATTGTATATAGGGTTGTGTATATACGTATCGTGATCGCGTGGTTGAGAATGTTTATGTGAAAATGTTTATAATTGCATGTGAAAGAGGATAAGCAGATGATTAAAATGGTATTATGTCAAGTATTTGGCAACGATTATGACGCTTTAGTACAGAGATATTTATGATATAACTTTAATTAAAACTCGTGTAAATTAAACAAGTATTTATTGATTACCGATAATATACAAACTAAAAGGTAATTTCAATGCGTGTGTTTATAAAGCATCGAGTGATAATGTGATTTTGATTCTATGCAATAAATGAGCCAAAAGAATTACTTAAGTAACAAAAAATACGTAACTAAAACCTAATCGATAAGAATATTATAAAATGTTTTTTCAATTTTCGGACCAGTTTCTATCGCGTCCGATGTTACACTTTAATTAACATTGAAACTATTATAAAACTATTATATATTCTATCTATATAATTTTAAACTTTACGTGTGTGTTAAAAGTCCATAGCTTTGACGATGGTATACTTACAACGCAAATTTCATACAAAATTAAAAGAGTTTATTTATACTAACAATAAGTGAACGACACAACTCCGCTTCTATGAAAAAACAGTTGCAATAACTTACTTTAAAGATGCTTTCCAGAGCACATAAGAAAAATGTTTGAACAAGATCTTTGAACAAAGATTAATTCCACGAGACATAGTACAAAGTAGCATGAAAAGCCATTGCATTAGAACTAGAATTCAATATTTTTGCTGCCACTCGAATGAACATAAACTTATTAAATTTTCATACATAGTATAAGATCCATTTTTTGAAAGCTTATAAAATAAGTAAGGTACTACGACATTCGAGATATTATAATTAAAACGAATATACGCATAACCTGTCTCTGCAGATTGTTAAAATTGTAATGTATAATCATTAAAACGTGTTATGGTATACACTTAATTATTTTAGTCGCGTAAGACTCGAGTACTTTTTAATTAGAATACGTATAGATCTATTTATCGAGAGAATCGTGTATGTACCATTGTACAGAATTCATGTGATATGTATTTGCATACATCCTACATATTATATGTCCAGGAGAAATTGTTTAAATCAGGATGTACATTTACGGTCATAATAATGTTATGTAAACGATTTCTAAATTTTATTTGAAAACAAACAAGATTAACATTGTTTTTAATGGTAGTTAAAAGTCTATTTGTGTCGAATAAAGTAATTTCCATAAATATTGCGAATTCAAAGATATATCGTCATAATCTTTAATTGATCGTTTTCCTTTAAATATATTGTATTTATCGTGACAGTATTTGTTATTAGAGGGAAGAATAAAGTCAATTTCCATTTGTGATACAGTAAAGAAAGTGTAGACGTCGATTTGTCCACGGTGGGTTTTTAGGCGACTAAAGACGGTGAACGTTTTTTCAATATTTCTCTGTTCCCCTCGAGTGTTCACCGATGCTCGCACACAAAACAGGCTTCTTTAATCCTATTTTAATCAGTGTCTTTTTATAATTAGTAGCAAAACACACAAATCCATAAAGTATAGCCGACGAGTCATCGTTCGTTCATCACTCATTAGAACCTATCCTTTTGTACAAAATGTTTAATGTATCACAAAATCTGATACCTACAAGCAGTGTAGTATCAACTGTACTTTTGCACAAGTTACACATTCATTTGATTTTAGTTGATCGTTTTATACACATTGATCTTCTACGAATAAAGGAATCGCTCTATAATTAAAGAAATAATTCATTAGGTATGCATCGTTAAGTTGCGCAAAACTTGTCGCTAATCAGAAATATTTAAAATATTTGAAAGTATATAGTTTCATTTTCGATAGCGTGAAAAATACATTCCATAGAAGATCAACAACAACGTTTCTTTTTTTCATTTTCAAGCCATTTAGAACAAAAAGAAGTCGTCTGTAATCTATATTATTATCATTAAGTTTACATTCTCTATTAAACACTTATTAATTAAGCAATAATATCGAAGTTAATGCATACATAAGTAATGTAACTGTGAACTAAATTTATAAAACTACAAAATATACTGAGATAGACTTTGAAGTGATACAGAAGTAAAATACATTAAGAAATGTATGGGTAACACTTCACTGTACATACATGGAATTACTTTACATATATGTACCAAGGTTTTCATGAGTTTGTAATGTAATACGAATACGTCTCTCGGCAAACGAATATAAAAACACTACTTATCGCTAGATTAAAATAATGAATGGTAAGTATATATACGATATACTAATCTGATTCTAGAATTTTTTGATACATAGAAACTCAAATGGTCAATTTGTACATGTTAAAGATTCAAGGTGAAGGTTTCAGTGTTGAACATAATACATCTTTGTTAATTCGGTGCAAAATATCTTCTATAAAAAATAGTTAACCGAAAATAGAAAATATAATGCTTTCTGTAATGGTACGCCGCACCAGTTATTTATTGTACTTACACAATTCATGGGAAAACAAATATATAAGGTTTTAATGTAATTAGAGAGTACATCGTGGGGATTTGAATCAAAATTAATTAAATCTTTCAATAGAAGTAAGAGTAACGATGATATGCAAACAAAGGACACTGAAATCTTATCTTGTTATCACTTTTTCTTAGTTAAACCTTGTACCACAGCAAAATAACAATTAGGAAAAGTATAGTGACACGTCAATTTTAACACACTGTTCTCTCTCTCCCTTTATATATAGATATACACATATACATGTGTATACGCATCATCGCACCGTATCTTATTTACTTTCTAATATTGTGTTCTAGACACATTCTAAGTAAAAAATGTTAATTCTTTTCAAACATCTTATATCGATTCTTTATCGATGCGTTAGTTATTTTGTGTGATTATATACAAATCAGTAAAAGCAGGAAATCGTTTCCTCTTTAATTACATATACATATGTAATGCATTTTTTTCATGTTGTTCATTATTTTGTGACGACAGTGTTAAGAATAGGTTTAATGTCACTAGTTCTTCTCAAATATGACACCGTATAATTTCGTTCCGAACAAATTCTTTTTCCTGAAGTAATTCTTATCCCGACCACTGCGCGTGCCTCGAAATTTCCTTTCCTCTCTTTCTTTTTGCATATTAAACTTGTTACAGGGCTCACTTTTTTCATATTTACTGTTAATTAAAATGAAGGCATTACCAACGAAGCAATTTAAAATCCAGCAGTCGTCTTCCAAGGCTAAAATAAAAAAAACAATTATATAGACTCGTGAATTGTTAAGCGAAACGTGATAATTAACGTTGCTCAATCTTTTACGACAGAGCACTTTCTTGCGAGACTCTTTATTCAACTTGATTTCTCACAAAAAAAAAAGTCATAAAAACCTTTTGTCGTCCCCCAAAAGTCACAGCAATTTAATTACATTTTTTCGTGGCAATTCTTTAAAAAGGATTAACCTGATAAAAGTATAACAATTAAGTTGATAATTAGTTGAAATAAGCTGTACAATCGTTCGCGTAGCTTTTCTGTAATTCAAAAGATTCTTGGAACATAGCTATCAACATTCTCCAGTTTTCCATCGCGAATCGTACAAGATACGTTTAAAAAAGTATATGTTCGTACTTTTTGACAGCGACTGTGCAGTTTAGGATTTTGTTAACTCTTGGACTAAATGCTCAGACGAATACACGAGACGTATCAGCTACCCCTGGCAAAAAGTACTTCAGCAAATAGATCAAACGTCTGCTAGAAAATTGCTAAAATATTCAACGTAGAAAACGTAGAAAATGTTCTCAATGAGAGTGAGGAAACAGAATGTTAGTATAAAAACAGAAAATACTTGTTTATTTACAATATACAAAATTAAAAGCTTTAACATTTGTTTTTTTTTAAACTATTCAAGAATTTCAACACATCGTCGTCGTGCTACTGGGATTGTATTTTTTTTTCTTTAAATAAGTTTTACATTACTTTCTACCGGGGGTAGCATGTAAAGTGAAACATGTTATATACATTAATTTCTGCGGTCTTTTAATCACGTGTTCTTATAAATCAGTTTTCGAATATGTAGGAAACGCATTATAAAATTCTTCGACAATTCGCAGGAAACAAAACATATTAAGCATATTTTGAACCGGCGTTTCCTGACACAGGAAAATAAAGTACGTTCTCGAATGCTGTACGCGTTCACTTAATATGTTTTCCACATTCCCACAATTCCTTAATCGATCTTCAATTTCTTACATTGTAAAGAAATCATAATAAATTACTTATATTTATTTAACATAATTGTAAAAGTTTCAATAAAACCAAATTATAGTACGTTGTTACAATATCGAGACAAACTTGATATTTGCGATATATGTGTAGTCGTGTCTGGGTGTACGCGCGCGCGTATGTTGGTGCATGCTTATGTACGTGTGTAATTATGAATTAAAAAAGAAAAATAAATAGTTTTATGAATAGCTTTACAATAAGTCGACGTTCACAGATATACGAATGTCTGTGTGTTTATCTGAAGCAAAAACGTCTTGCGCTATATATTTTTTTTTTTTAGTATAAAAATACAAACCAACGCATTAGCGTTTCTTCTTTTTATACTTATACAAATCCTTGATCTACAAGAATAACTATTTAAATTATCCACGTATACGACAAGTACACTTCTATCTCAGAAGACGGTACAAAAAATACGAATTTCGTATATACTTTTTTAAGTTATTTACGTATAGGATTTAAGCGAGCGACGTCAAATCCTCGTAAATAATGAGATCATGAGAGATTATGATTGATTCTAAGCAGACACGTGTTTAAATTTGCGTAATTTGTACACGCAAGACACTGTTTTTCAACCGATCTAGTCATTTAGACTGTTCACGTTGTCAAAAAAAAACCAAAACTTTCGATAAACTTCTACAGCAAAAGGATACATATATTTATAGGAACTTTAAAGTTGGACCATATGATTAACAAAAATATACTTAGGCACCTTTTTTTGTCGTTTAAAATAATAAAATGGCTGCAGTACCTATCGATAATGAATACTGTGATGTCAATAAAACGAGTCGCAAACAAACAACGAATTGGTTCAGTTCATAGCAGCAAATCCAGAGGATTTTATGCGCTGGTTTTTTTTGATCGTTTCTCACTATATCCTCCGCAAATGGACCGCATAGATTCAAGACACCGCATTCTCTTCTCTGGTATAAGGTACACTTTTGTTGACAAGCTCGTTGCTTATTTGATCATCGAAATACACACCGGACAGAGAAAGAGAGAGAGCATGTTCATGATGATCCACCGAGTAATAAAACATACTGAAACCAAAGTATTGCATGCAACATTGATCAGAACCTGCAAAAAATCTATCCTAAGACAATTTCTTTTTGTTGAAAGAAGGCTGAATTCTCCACGAAGAATAATCTTCATAGGATAATTTAAACCGTTAACCATCTACTACAAAAAATATCAAATGTTAATAGCATGTCCTGATAATGTACACAAAGGCAACGGTTATCGATCTGTCCTTGATTTTTCCTGATTGCGTAAAAGTTTCTCTTTCCTAGTAATACAGCGAGTCGTCTCACGCATGAGACGGACATTATTATGTTGGTATCTTTTCTGTTCTCTGAATGCCACTTGTGAAAACTATACGAATTTATATATATATATATATATATATATATATATATATATATATATATAGGTCATTTAAAGCTCACGACGTTACAGGTTGTTGGATTCACCTTAACTTTAGCTATATCATATAATTATAAGAAAGATATAGTCACTCACAAAATTAAGTATACAGATATGCTGATAGTGAAAATTGGCGCGAATATAAACTGTATCGTACATATTTCATTGTAAGAACAGAGCATATATTTATTAGTATGGTTTAACAGGCAATTAACGGAAGGAAAATGAAATAACATTAAGTATTTGTTTATATTTCATTGAAAACGTAAAATTATTAGAATTTTACCGATACAAATTAACTAAATTAATTTTTCCGACTTATGGTATTTCCATTTTATGTGACAAAGCGCATTTTGTGCATATGAAATTGAGTCTTGTGACTCATACAACAGTTAGACTTTTAACAATTTTTTACATCCAAACTTTGATAATATAAAAATTATCTTAGAACGTGATGTAACAATTTTAGTGGTGCCTCGGAGTCACCACTCGAGCGTAAAGGGTTAAACTTATACAGATCTGAGGAATTTAAAAAATTGACCATCTGTATGTTCAATTTGATGTCGGTAAAACTCTAGTAATTTTACATTTTCTGTGAAATATAAACAAATACTTAATATTATTTCGTTTTCTTTTCATTAATTGCCTGTTAATAATAAATGCCTGTACTAACAAATATATATTGTGTTCTCACTCTGAAATATGCTTGATTTAATCCATATTCCTGCTCATTTTTGTGAGTAACTGTATATAGTGATTTATATTATAAACCTGGGCAACTGATTGTTTAAAACTCACGAACTATCAACGGTCGAACCACTATCGCTTTCCAAACGAGTGATTAACGAGTGTAGCAGAGGAAATGGTAATTCGAGTATCGACAACTCGTAAGCGATCAGTTGTCACAGTCAGTTATATTATATTGTATGTTGTGGAAAATAGTGGCAGTCAAATAACAGAAAAGGTTTCCACATTGTTATACCCCGTAGTTATTCTATGTAATGTCCGAACACTTCTCTTCTAGTCTAGCCTAAAGGAAATCAAGTAACTCACCATAGGAGTAAGACTTTATGATGAAATGTCAACATCGTTTGTTAAAGAATCGAGTAGCGAAGCTTTGTTATCTTCCAATTCGAGGGAATTTGAAGCGTAAAGACTGTTCGTTGATGCGTTGCACGCCGTACTGGTTTGAGGTGATGTCGCATCCAGGAACATGTCGTCATCAAAATCTAGTAAGTTTTGCGTTGGATTATATGCCATCAGTTCGCCTCCGACTGATCCGTTAACGTTGTCTACAACTGCAACACAAACATGCTCTTTGTAGAATGAAGCGAAACTATTTACTGCTTGTATCCAAGATAATAACTGGGGCTTTTACGGTTAGCATGATCGTCATCTTCTCTCTCAGAATGTGGGTTCAATTCTGGATTAACAGGCATACTAAACGACATCGGATCGTCTGCTCCAAATAACTGCAAATACACATAATTAACTGAAAAATAAGAAAATCGAATTCTCCTAATAAAAGTATATAGTTTCAGTTAAACGATAGATTACTTACACCAAGAAGTGTATTTGCATCGATACTATAGCCCTCACCCCGTAGGATATCACGTAAATTGTCCAAGTCTGTCTGCATTGATTCGAGATGATTATCCATATCCTCCCTATAGACAATTGTTTAAGATGGATCAAACATGCTTAATAATACTACGAGTTCACACAAGCTTATCCATATTTTAATGGATGAACATGGAAAACGTTGATAGCCTTTTCCTGAAAAGTACAATCTTTCTATTTGGGTAAATGATAGCATAAGCAGTCCTTCATCATTTTTATTAAATTTCGAAGAGTATTATTTATGATTACTGCTTGTGAAATCATTTTATTGGAGATGTTTCTGTGCACAAAAAAAAAGTTTTCATAAGCTAAAAATATTATATGTTGCCTTGCATTGAAATTACTTAAAATAAATTTCGGCAAGATTTAACATGTACACATAAAAAATCTGACTTATAATTTCATTGGTCCAACAGAAAAATTATTCTGAAAGAAACAAATTCATATAATCTGTAATTTCTTTTTAGTTGGAAATCAAAATTGAGTACTAGATTTTTTAAATGAAACATACTAAACTATTGTAAAATAACTCTGAAATAGACAAGAGACAACATAAGATTCCTAGATCAAAGGCAAACATTTAGACAATTCTATGAAAAACTGTCCTGCATTATTGTTAGTAGAGTGTGCACTGTCAAATTAGAATAAACTCATGGTTGGTTGAATGTTAAAAGTGATAGAAATATTAGTTGGCTCCCACCTCTTTGGATTAAGAATTTCCATTAATAATAAGGGAAATTCATTGCACTCAACTTTCTATAGCCATGGATTTGTTGGAACTTACATTGATCCTAACCTGTAAGCAGCATCAGCCACGCCATTGATACAGCTCAAAGATAATTGAATACTTGTGCCTGCTCCATTAGAATTGGTATTTTCTTTCTCCAGAGATTTTTTAGCATTGTTTACGCGTGTACCTCTCTGGTTGCCTTGCCTAGTGCCTTCATCCACATTATTGAGCTGATCAAATGCGTTATGGTTTTCACTGATTTTTAAATTTCCATTATTCTCGCCGTGCTCTCCGATCTCGTTGTTATCCGCGCTCTTGTTGTTCTCTTCGTCGATGATTTCCGGTACTATCAGGATGTCCTCGAGTTTTATCAAATTGGAGACATTCTCCTGAGCATCTTCCTCTATGTCCCCAGTAGTTTCCAAATCGAGGTCAGATTCTGCTTCGATTCCTTTATTCATATTAGCCGCCATAGCTGCGAGTTTCGAACTGCGTACAGTTGCAACAGGTACTGGCTTAGGTGCTGATCTATTTTCCAATACAACGCTGGGCACTGGTGATTCTTCAAGTGGGATTTCAAGCATATGTGTTTCTTCCCTAAAATAGTTAAACAAGATGTGTGTTGCCATTCTTGATCATCTTCGGATAGATTTCTGTAGCCATAATCTGCTTTTTAATAGGCCTTATTTACTTCAAAAGCTGTAATTCTGCTTTTGAACGATTCTTGACTACTATTCTGATCGATGGAAGTATTGCAAGAGCATACACATAAATATCTGAAGCATTATTGAAAAACATGCTCTCTAAAAATATAGTAAAATTACAATTGTTACAACACTATTCGACATCTAATACAAAATAGTAAAATATCTATATCTATGTGCACAATGTATAAAGTAGAATAGAAAAGGAGAAGATAAGCTTCCAGTAAAATAGTGTATAAATACTAAATAAAAGCAAACAAGCTGTAGAAAATTAAGTAATATTGTTTAATTCTACTTCGAAAATTAGTTATCATTATATTGTTCTTAGACTTTTTCAGGATAAGAGTTGATAGATTGATAGTAGATTTTACACAGATTGGACTGTCACATTCCATGCATATATATTTAGATGAAAAACGATATTAAAAAGATAGATTGACATTTAAAACTGCACTAGTGCTTAGTGTATCAACAAATGTATTTAGAGGCGTAAGTAAAATGTAAAGCATAAAGTATCGGCAATGATACAAGTAAAAGATCATAGAGACAACTCAACCAAGGATTAACAAGAATTCTCTTATGAACACAGAATTCTAGAAAAAAATCTTTTTGTTTACGGTTAATTTTGTTCATCAAATTATATCGATACAATAGAACTAGAAATGTCAATATTTCAAAAGCAACTACCGCAAGTTGGGAAAGAGTAGCAAACTAAGAGAAAATCATTTCAGTGTAATTCGAATTGAACAATGCTTCTAATACAGATATTATCGCAATGTTGTCGAGCGTTCATGCAAAATAATAGAACGAAACAAAATTGCGATACTAGTCAAAATTAAATTTCTAGAAAAAAATTAAACCCAACACCAAATAACGACAAGAGAAAAATGTTAACCTCGGTTCCTCTCCATTCTTCGTTGATGGGATCAAAATTTTGACGGGCACCTTGTTTTTCCTCCTGGCAATATTTAAATTGTGGTGATATGAGTGTCACTGGGAATTAATTAACGTTACGAGCAATATAAGATAATTTTATACATGAAAATTTCCTGCTTTCTGGTTTGAATAAGTATGATCCATAAGTAGTTCTGCCACAATATGGTATAAAATTCCAACAATTTATGCCCCTGTGTCTTCCATAAATGTACATGAAGCAAAACTTTTCATTTAAATCAGTTAATTGTTCAAAATTTCATGCACAGAAAGTATATTGGAACAGATAAACAAGAGTTTGTTATAATTTGCTTCTTTTAACGCTTTTCAAACTTCAACAACAAATAAAAATAAACGGAAACGTAAAAATGATACTAAACGGAATGATAGATGTTCAAATTTTGTTGTGTCCACTGTGCAAAACTCCATCATATTACGATATCAAAATTGAAAGATTGTACATGACTCAGTTGTATACATATAATACACGCTATATTATATACATACATATATATATATACATATATATACATATACATATATATATATACGTATGTATGTATATGTATGTATATAACTTGGGTTAACTTACTTTTTTTTACCCTTACATCCACGTTTCTTTCGAGCATCAATCTCTTGCGGATTGACCAGTTGTATGTCATCATGTAACTGCACAGAATCGTCGACTAAGTGAATAGTCTCCATATTGTTTTCGTCTATTACTGACGCAGAATTGTGTTCTGGACTTTGAATCGCTGGATTTGAATCTCCTTCTAGCATCCTGAATGACAAAAATTCATATGTAACTTAAATAATGTTGAATAAAATATTCCATACTACAATACTGCATCAACATACTCTGCAACTATATATTCTGAGTCTAAATCTGGGTCAGATGCATCAAGCTCGTGAATTACGGGCCCTGTAGGCGATGCTTGTGCCTGGATAAATAAAGAAATATTTTGACACAGGAGTTACACGACTCCGACTTATAATTGGTTGGAATTGTATTACTACCTTCGACAATTTGCTCTGTTTACGTTGACGGTTGGAGTCATCTATCATCAATGGATACCTTCTTTTAACAGAGAGACCGCCGCTCCGCGATGGTTGTACCAAAGTGACTAAAAAATGTATAAGCTTATTAACAATTTGCTGCTGCTTCAGATGCTTTTGCCTGAGCATCGCTAGCTCCCGCCACAAGGCCTCATTCTCTCTTTTCATAGCTCCAAGCCTAGAGTCTAAATGTTCTTGACGGCCTCTCATACTTCTGACTTCTGTTAGCATTTTATTCATTAATTCTGGTTTAATGGGTGTAAGTGAAGGGTCTTGTCCTTTACTGGATGCAATCTGAACAAGTGACAGTAGAACATTGAAAAATGATCAAATGGAATAATAAGGAAATACCTACTTTTCTTTTAATGTGTTCTACAAGATATGGATGTCCTTTGCAAAAAAACTGGTGCGCGAACTCCATTTCATCTCTATCACATTTTAGACCACCCAATTCCACAGAAACCTTCTTGTGGAAGCCATCTAAAATAAACATATGAAAATTTGATAAAATATAAAAGAAAGATTTATAATAATGTTACCGCTACTTACACATATTTAATTGACGAACAAAGCTAGCCATGTTGTTATGTTTGTAATAGTGTGGCAATAATTCTCTGGCAAATTGTGCCTGGTTTCTAATGAAGAAACTTCTTCCATTCTAAAAAGAAGCAATGAAGTTTCAGTATTCAATTAAATTGTATTTACAAAAAGAACAAAAACTGGTAACATTCAGAAATATAATTATGTAAAATTCAAAATTTGTTGATGGTATTCGTTGAAGATGATCGGCGCGTTGTTAAAATTTTGTTCAAAATAATGAGAAAAGGACGAGGAGACTGATAGTTGTTGAAATAATGTAATATATTATCACATACGCGTGTACGTACATATAATATATACATTTATATATATATATATATATGTACATATCTGATGGCGCAACTAAGTACAGAATAAATTACACCGACAGTGTGCACGTAAAATATAGGTTGTGTACGTAAAAATGTGTACCACGGGGGTCAACGTTTCTCATACGTTTCCGTCGTTTACTTACACGACGTTAACATCATGTAGGAACTTATTCTGATAGCAGAAAAGGTAAACTAATCGGCGTTCGTTTTAATTTCCGGCATGCCGAGTGCGTATAACGTAAATGAATTCGGAAGAAACAACAAAATAAGATACTCACGGGTGACCAACAAATAAGGTCGTCGGTTTCGGGATCTTCAACCAGCTTCCAGAGCTTGGCAAGGAACGCCGGTACAGTAGTACCTAATTCCGGGATCGTGTGCATCGTAATGTCAACAGTTTTTCCTCAGTCTACAATAATTGTTAAGCTGCCTCGACGAACAAACCACGAGAAAAATCTTCACATCTCACGACAATGGCTGATCGCTGACGATGTTATTCTGCTAGTAGCACTGACAGGTGGGGTGAGGCGGGGAATGATTTTAATCACGGTTTTAATGGAAGAAATGCGAGCTTTCCATTTCAAGTCACAGCGCAACCGTCGTCAGCGTTGGTCATCCATGATTGGTTCTTTCTTCGAGGATCATGTCGTGGACCAATAACTGACCAATGGAATCGATTTCGTAAATTTCCATGAAAATTGAGTTTAAGGTTTAATTCAGGTGCAACAACCTATATCTGAAAGAAGATTATGAAAACTAACAGTTCCTACAATTTATCACCAGAAAATTTAATCATCCTGTTCTGCCAATGGTACACGCTGTGGCAGAGAGTAATGGAAATTAGATACGGCAACAAGACAATGTTGTTCGAATTTCTTAGATTAGTTTAAAGATTTATTATTTATTGTTCTCTGAGTGATAAGCTTCGTTTCATCATGACTATAATAGAATATGTACAAACATTATCTGACAATCCTTACTTCGGGGCAGGCTTTGGCCTCTTTGGGCTAGGAGCCGGAGCAGCTATGTTGCGCAAAGGAATGCAAGCAGGAATGATATTGTTTAGGTAATGTTCCATTAATAATTACATTTCGATGCATGATGCTGTCTCGGTTGCAATTTTCTAATTCTAACGTGTTCTAATATAGGCGACATTACATGATCACTTTGGAGGTTCCATGTCGAGATAAAAGTTACCAGTGGTTGTTACAATGGATCACGTATAAGGGTGCAAGAAACACGAAACACCTGTCGGTTGAGACAAGTTTCGAGCAGAGAGAAACAGGTCACATAAAAACTAAATATGATTTCATACCAAGTATCGGAACTCATTTCATTAGGTTAGAAATAAGAGTACTTACTGTTTTGATACTTCGTTTCACAATGACAAGTATGAGACGCAGCTGCCCACTTATTTAAAGATCGCTTAGAGCAATCCATTGTAACGTGTTTAAAATTCATCTTCAAAATTAACAGGTACCAAGGGAATTGGATAAGAGTAGAGCGAACAAGAGAACAGCAGACATTGGATATACAAATGGGCATACCATGGGAAACTGTGCAATTAACAGCAATTGGGAGAGACAGAAACATATATTTCAATATTTTGGAAGAAGGTAAAATTTCCTTGTGTACTTTTAATTACGACTTAATGTTGTTTAACGAAATTTTGTCTATTGTAGCAAGACAAATGGCTTTGAAACAACATGAAGGCAAAACAATAATGTATACTGCTATGGGAAACGAGTGGAGGCAATTTGGACATCCAAGAAAACGGAGACCAATAGATTCGGTTGTGTTAGATGTTGGTATCGCCGACAGAATATTAACAGATTGTCGAGAATTCATAGATAATTCTGCATGGTATAGTGATCGCGGTATGTAATAGATTATAAACTGTGAGTAAAAGAGTAAAGGTAATAATCTGTTAATTCTCTAAAGGTATTCCGTATCGGCGAGGATATTTATTGTACGGCCCTCCTGGTTGCGGTAAATCGTCGTTCATTACAGCACTAGCAGCAGAATTGGAACGGGGTATTTGCGTCTTAAATCTATCGGAACGCGGTTTAACGGATGATCGATTAAATCATCTCTTAGCTCTGGCTCCGCAACAAAGTATTATACTTTTAGAAGATATTGATGCTGCTTTTGCTAGTAGAGAAGAGAGTAAAGAAGGTAAGGTTTAAATTGAAATAGTCATGAGTATAACGCTAACAATAAGTTTGGGTTCCTATATAGTATAAACGAATCTTGTCTCATTTTGTCAATGCAATTTCATTCTAGTTAAAGCTGCATACGATGGTTTGAATAGAGTAACGTTTAGTGGTTTGTTAAATTGTTTGGATGGTGTTGCTTCTACAGAAGCCAGAATTTTGTTTATGACGACTAACTACTTGGAAAGATTAGACCCTGCACTAGTTAGGCCAGGACGAGTAGATGTAAAAGAGTACATAGGTACAAGTATAAACCAAAACTGTTGCTACTTGCTAATTTAAAGAAGATAGAAATTTACTAGTTGCAACGTATACTGAAACATATATTTGTTTTCAGGTTGGTGTAGCGCTACCCAAGTGGAACAAATGTTTTTAAAATTCTATAAAAATAACGTGAACGAGGCGAGTAAACTTGCCAAAAAGTTCGCCGAAGGTGTATTATCGCAAAAGAAAAACGTAAGTCCTGCACAACTTCAGGGATTTTTCATGTTTTACAAAAATAATCCAGACGATGTGTTAAAGAATGTTCCACATATATGGGAACTTACGTGATAGGATTAATAAGTGTACAGTACAGTGATTACGACTATGATGAGATAAGTGTTATTAGGATTTGAAGTCTGCATGAAACAGGGAAACAAACTGGGTAGAAAAACTTATCACTGGTTGTATTCTATATACAATGGTCGAAAAAGAAGAGTGGCAGAATTTACAGATCACTTAGAACCACATATTTGTATTGGTAATGCCATTTACGCATATTTTTTCAGTCATGATTTTCCACATTTTAGATTTCTACAATATAAACTTAATAGAGATTTCATACAAAATTTGTTGGTTTCACATTGTTCACTTTAATTATCACGTTACTATTGACAATATACTTTAACGGTGACGATCCGAAGACAAAATACATGATAGCAAAATAAACGTATAATTTTTTTTATTCTCGATAATATATATCCTTGACTGCATATATTTATATCTGTGTATGTACATAATGTCCACGTGTTTTTTCACGTTCGCTTAAATTCATTTAAATTTGTTTAAATCGTCGTGCTTTGATTCAACAAAACGGTAAAATGAAGTCATACTACATTCCATAAACGATTTATCCGTCGAACCACGTTGGTATAACGTAATTTGAATTTATGGAAAATATATATTAATACGATCTTTATGCTGTTTCCTTATCGTACGTGTTCACATCTCCAAGTTTCGTCTAATCAGAGTAGAACGAAATTTTGAAAAATTATCATGCATCTGTAATCGCGAGTTTCCTTTGTATCAAATAATTTGATCGAGTGAGATTAGATTTAGTAAGACAACGAATGCTACTACATTTTCGATTGTAGCAACATTTTTTACTTACCTATATCCGAATGCTGAAGTTTCACCAAACGCTGTCTCTTCATTAATAACGTTTCTGAATTTTCGGTATTTAAAAACTCCATATGTAGGGTTCGTAGTTCAAAGGATCCGGTTGTTCCATACCGTGTCCGGTGTGATTGTCGTTTCCGACCATGCAGGACGCATACGCGACTCCCGTATTTCCTTGTCCTGAAACTGGTGGTACAATACTCGGTGCTAATCGACAATCGGGTCTTTGCTGCATCATAGGACCCATTGGTTGTATCGTTTGAGGGGCTGGAGGAGGTCCCGGTGGTGGTGGTGGTTGTGATTGAACAAGCGTAGGGGCAGTTGCAGGAATATTGTGAACAGGTTGCAATATGTTAGGACCTGAAACATAGTTCGCCACTAAATAGTGGTTTCCACAATTATTTATTTATCTTTCTCTCCAAGAAAACGATATATCAGATTCGAAGAAAATTAGACAATTTTAACATACTTGTCGTTGGGTTGTGAAATGTTAATGGTTGTTCTGGTACCATACTTGACGGTGGTGCAACCATTTTTGTCGTAGCACAATCGATTTTTCTCTTCTTGGTAGGTATTCGTTTTTGCGTATTGCACAAAGTTTGATCGCGTTTTTTATTGCTCGACTTCTTTTTCCTCTCACCAGGAATTTTTGGTTTATTTGGCCGATTTCCACTGGGTTGCCACAGGTGCACCGTGTGAACAGCATTTCCTTCTCTAAAACAACGAAGAATTCGCTCACAAATTTTTATCAAAGTACTCGGCAATTTTGTACACTAACCCCTGTTTCTTTCCAAGTTTCCAACTATGGATACCAGCTTTGTGAAGCCTCTCTCTGATTGTGTCTACGCTACATTTCAAACCCAGAGCGGGTGCAACGTGTTTAGCTGCGGTCAGAGGTTGCTGAGTAGCCATCGCAACGATAGCTTCATCTTGTTCTTTGGTTGTAATTCGACGTCGACCCTTTCTTTCCTTCGTCTGTACATTACCTTCTTTATGCCAACGTTCTAACCATCGCTTGACAGTACGTTCCTATTTAATAAAGATGAAAATATACGGCTACTATCCTTGACGGTCTTAAATTTGTTAGACTCAACAAAACGAGTATATTTCTTCTCACCGATCTGTCGATTGCAAGCGCGATAGACAACGTAGATAAGCCTGCTTCGGACATGCCAATCATACGATTTCGAATTTCGACGCTGGTTTCCAATGTTCCTTTCGCTTTTCCGCCTTTCTTTTTCTTTTCGTGCGATTCGTTCTTCACGTTACCATGTCTCAACGAGTGTTTCTTCTGGCTAAGTTCCCCACTGGATGACTGATCGCTGTCTTGAGAACCACAGGTATTAGAATTATCAGAATTCAGATTCGGATTAGCTTGCGTGTGTACTAATTGTGTATGCAAATGATCCTGATGTTCTTGTTGCTGTTGGACTCGTCGTACTACGTCGAGCTGTCGTTGCTGTTGATGATCCAAGTTATGCGTTTCGTCCGGAATTGTATGTTGTACTTGTTGCATATGGTGTTGCTGCTCTTGTCGGGTACGTAACTCTTGAAGTTGCTGCGGCAATGACTCGTGAGGTATCGCATCAGGTTCACCCTAAGAATTCGGAAAGTGTGTAATTGAATAATGATACGAATAACCATGTAGCAAGCGATACAAATTACAAACCTGATAATGATGTGTTCCTTGTACTAAATCTAATGGCCAACTTTGTGAAATATTCAAGCCAGGATGTTGATACACAGGCTGTGGCTGTTGAACCAAACTCAATGGATTACCATATTCCGTTTGACTATGTGGTAAAGGCTGGTACGACGCTTTTATATCATTGGCCTGGGGTTGAGGAGCATTTTCTTGTGGAAAAACAAATTGTTGCTGTTCGTTCGAGTCTTTTATATTTTCTAGGAGTGTAACATCTTCGACATACACGTCTTTGCCCCTGATTTTCCGGGGAGAACTCTTTTTTTTAACTGTACAGTTCTTACTAGAATCGTTTTTACTACAATCTATGGAAGACTTTTTTTTCCCTAATTGTGTTCCAGTGGGTCTCCACACAGGTTGTTGAATAGCAGTACCACCTGTGTCCCTACGGATACAAACATCAATAGATATCGAATCATGCCAGCCTGATTCAATAAAATATTGAATAAGATTTTAAGATGTACCCGAGAGGAATTCTTTGCATATATTTTCGTGATGGGCTCCAGTTATGTATTCCAGCTTTATGTAGCCTTTCCCTTATGGTGTCTACAGAACAGGTGAGCCCTAGAGCAGGGAGAACAGCTTTTGCAGCTGTTATCGGTGTTTGCGTTGCCAATTTTACTATCGCTTCATCCTGTTCGACTGTTGTAGCACGTTTACGTCCACACCGTTCTCGTGTTTCTACTGTGCCTTCCTTGTCAAATCTGTTTAACCATCTCTTTACGGTACGTGGCTGAAACCATAGATTGTAGCAGTACATTGACTATATTAGAATGTGATAGAAACTCTGGAAAATATACTTACCGAACAATTTACGGCTGCCGCAATTTCCCGTAAACCTAAACCAGCCTCATACATACCCACCATACGATTTCTTAATTCTGGCGTTGTTTCGTGCACTCCTCTCGTTTTCCCCATTTCTACTCAACACTAAATCGATTTACCAAGAAAGAAGAACGAAGAAACGAAATTGTGAACAATTTGAAATTCTACGCGAAAACTGACGTATAAAAAGAATAGATCACGTGACAATGGCAGTACTCTATCAGAAAGTTTTTCAAAATTTTAATTATTTTCATGTCATCATATTTTTCCGTCTATCGCGGAATCTTCGAACTGGAACGATCCACCAAATCATTCTATTCGGCAATCGAAATTTCACTGTGCATTTTTCAAACAATATTGTTTCTTCTTCGCTTTTGACATTATGCCGTATTAGATAGCCTAGGACGGCTGTGTGGATCTCGACGTCGACGGAATTTAATTGCCTCGTTTATCGTACTTAATTTTCGTAGAAAATTTCACTAAATCGGCCTTCTTACCCTAAAAAACCTTTGATCTACGTTGAAACGAGTAAATGCGGAGTCATATTTTCTCTCACAAGACACCTTATACGATTCGTTTTGCCTGAAATGCACTTGCTTGAGGAAAATACTGTAGTCAATACAACTTCGGCTGTACAGTCCGTCGAGATTCTTTTGTCCACGCTTCGCTTTCCGCAAACTTTTCACATCCATTTAGAGATTGCTCCGAAGTCATTTCTTCAAGGTGAAAAACATTTGAAAGATTAACGTCGAATCGTAGAGGCACTCGTTTCAAATTCGAAACAGTTCGATCGAAAAGTATTGTGATAATGATTCGGTATCGTCAATTTCAATTCGGTTGACTGTACCATGTCGACGACCGTACAGTCTCCTGAAGTCGTTCCGCCTGCATCTCTGTTTACATTGTACAAGAGAGGTGTAACTAGAGAAATGCGCGAAATTCGCAATCGCACGAATATCATGTATTCGTTTGAAATAATAGGCATTCGTTGTTCATAGACTGTAAACGTCATCGGACCGTATACATCTACCACCGAGAAGTACAATCGATGGAAAGGTTATGTCGAGCGAAAACCATTTCGCGCGGCTATTCGCATCGATGAAACATTCTGTTCGATTCGATATTCGATAGAACTGCGTTGCTTTTCCAAATGTCGATCTTACAGGTCGATATCGATTGTGAGTTATATATGTACACACGCATATTTACTCGCGCAATTTGAATCCCAATATACTGGTGATTTATTTTAAAATATTACATATATATACATACAATGCAGTAATATTTTAAAATAATTGACCAGTATATTGAGATTCAAATTATTATTAATATATATATATTGTTATTATAATTAATATATATATATATGTATGTATGTATGTCGCCCCGACACCATTTAGGGTTTGCTTCGGCTGCATTTTGCCCACCTTCGCCGAGGTGCTATTGACTCATAAAATCGTTCGTCCTATAAATATGTACATACATTCTGAGCATAGAATATATTTGCCGCTTTTCTAAAGTTGCCGGAATCACGTTCATTAAAAAAAAAACACGGATTTACGAGTTCTTTGAGATGAAAAAAGATGCAAAACTGATACGGTGAAAGTGCAACAATAATTTTGTTACTTCATCTCCGCGCAGCTGCGAAACGCCTACAAATCAAAACACAATGTGTACAAAACTTATCTTGACTGAAATTATTTTTCACAATAAATTTCTACAAAATTGTTCCAGCATCGTATACGTATAGAAGGTACAAATGTTGCTTTCTACTGGTAATCGAATTGCAAGACGGTCTCTCGAAAAGCGCATGTGCTGGTTTCTCAATGATCGAATTCGAACCAGGTTATGGTCGTCCTGCGACCGCAAGTACATAGGTAGTTATCCTATGGGCCGCGCCGCCAGATTAATGGCAGCGGAACAAGGCACTTGAATCAAGCCGGCCAACCGTAGATGAGATAGGAGACAGGAGGGTGTGTTGAGGGTGCCGTAACATCCGCCAATCAAATCTGCGTTTAGGTGCGTTTATACACCCTGGCCTAGAAACAAGGGCTTCGTCCCCGTCCTCTCCTTCGAGCGATCGTTTCGTCTCGCGTTTCGTCCAATGGTCCGACAACGATGCCGAACGACGCGAAACGCAGGCAACAAGTAGGCTAAGATCATCGCGGTGGCTCGATCCGCTCGGAGGTTGACGCGGAGGTAACGAATCGTGGAATTTCGATTTGAATTGGTGTCGAGAGCTTCCACACGTGTCGTCGCGGCTGCCGTACATCTGTGTGTGGAGTGTACAGGGCCCGGTTTGCCGCGGTGCTTCAAGCGGATTCGATTCAGTCGCGCCCTCGCGTTTGCAGTTTCCCAGCGGGAGCACAGTGAGAGTAGGCTCTACGGCTCCGGCTTCGAGTAACGCGCGCCACTCGCTCGAGCAGAACCACCCCCGGCGGACCTGGTACTAATCGAATTCGTGCTCTGTCTCTCTCTCTCTCTCCCTCTCTCGCAGAGATCCCAGAAAAATCCGAAAAAACTCAGTAGTGTTCCTACCGCAGTCAGATCTCGCCCTGCGCACAGCCGCTGTTCCTTTCCTTCCTATCCGATATTGCATTTTCGGACGGAAGATCGATCGCTCATCAACCCCGACGAGAACCAAAACGAAACAGGACAACGCGATCGAACGCGGACCATGAAGCTCCTGGTAATCTTCCCTCTGCTAGCACTCTGCTTGATCCAGCCGTCGCTTGTTCATTGCGGGGTACGTATGAGATTACTCCTCTGTCTTACCTGTTAATTCAAAATATTCTCCTCTTTCGAACACGGTACACGCACGAACACGATCATTGCCTACTCTTTCTCTATCCTGTATCATTTTTTTTTCTCGCATCGTTCCGCGTTCAATTGTGGCGACAATTTGCGAGCAGAATCGGGTCTCTTAATTTTCGTCGAGAAACATCTGTTTCTTCTGAACCGACAATTTCAAGAAACTTCGAAGACATTTTTTCTGATGGATAATTTTATTTGACGATATCAATATTATTTATTAATACGGCAGTCGATCATGTGTTCGATTATGATTTGCCGCCATTTGTTAGATAGGAATCGAGCGTGGAAGAATAATCGTCAGGGAGAATGGAAATCGATAACGATCTCGCGGATCGTCCAAATGATTTGTAAATGTCGAGACGGTGCGCGAAACGTTCGATCGAAACGAGTCGGATGCTTGTGGATTTCGGTGAGTGATCGATTGAGTACGATTTTGTTTCAAATCGCGGGTATTTTTTTGTAGACGCGGCCGAGTTTCGTCTCCGACAAGATGATCGCGAAAGCGGCCAGCGTGGTGAACGCTTGTCAGACCCAGACCGGTGTGGCCACAGGTACCGGCGATCGAATTTTATGCTCCGCTAATTTTTATCTTCTCCTATCCTGTACTATACATGTTCGATCTCGTTTCGATTTCAGTGGACATCGAGGCGGTTAGAAATGGGAAATGGCCTGAATCGAGGCAGCTCAAGGTAAACAATACGTGTGCCCAGCATATCTTTCAACCCTGCGGCCCGCCGATGAAACAAGACATTAACGAGATATCCCCGATTTGTTGTTGTATTTTTTCTTTTTTATGACGCAGTGCTACATGTACTGTCTTTGGGAGCAATTCGGTCTGGTCGACGATAAGAGGGACCTCAGTTTAAACGGGATGCTCACATTTTTCCACAGGATGCCAGCCTACAGGAAGGAAGTACAAGAAGCGATCAGCGCGTGCAAGAGGATTGGTAAATATTTTGGTATCTACCGTGTGATTTGATATTTTTCTATTTTCGCCTTCTCGATCGATCTACCCGCAAATCTCGCCTAATGCTGTGCGACACGGCTTACACCTTGATCTCTTGCCGCGGCAAATGAGCCGTTTATTTTGAAAGTGGCATAAGTCACTTTTTCCAAAAGATCGAGTCAACGGTAACACCGATTACAATCGAGCGGTATCTTTTCATCTAAAAAAAAAAGAAAAAGAAAAAAGGTGACTTATGCCACTTTCAAGATAAACGGCTCAAATGGTAGATACGCGCACCGAGCAACGTGAAGACGGGTCAAACTGATTTGAGAAGCAGTTTCAAATATACGTAGTGCATGTATATTAGAAGAGAGAGAGAAAGAGAGAGCGAGAGAGAAACACGATAGAACTCCAATTATATTTACTTGTTTAACAAACGATACTACACTTTGCACGCAGCCGCTTTGTGCAATATTTGTTAGGTTTTGTTTTTTAAACTTAGTAAGAGCACGAGTGCATCCGTATAATTTGCTTTTGTCAAGAATGCGCTTTGAATTGATCGTGATCGATCGGGTTCGGTTCGATGGAACGCGCGCTAATTAATGTAACGATCTTTCGTTCTTAGTGAAAGGAGACAACAACAATTGCGAGTACGCGTTCGCATTCAACAAATGTTACGCTTCATTATCACCACGAGTGAGTATCATTGTACCGAATCTATCTCACTGCTTCAACGTTGTTACAAGAACATCATCAGCCAATTAAACCTTCCTGTTTCAGACCTATTATCTGTTTTAACGAATTCTGCGCGAAATAAGAGGAGTAATGGAGGAGCAACAAATTCGTTTTATCGTCCGTCGAGACAACAATCGTTTCCATGTAATCCCGTAACCGTTTCGTACAACATCATAATAAACGATAAGTCTGATTTCCACGGTTGTATCTGATCTTTGCGAGACGCGTCGATTCGAAGATTTCAAGATTTAATCGCCTTTAAGCGTCGAGTTGATCGAAACTTCCGACGCTGGTCTGCTCCAATTGTCGATCGAGGTCGTGTACGAACGTGACCGCGCATTAGAAATAGAACGAGCGGGTTACTGCGATTCGTTGATTGATTAAACGCGTATCTACACGTGTAAATTACCCGAAGGTGGAACGCGCAGCGTTGCTCGTTGTCGCTCGATCCCAATCCCGATCCAAATCGACGTAAGGCGACACGAAGCGACGCGAAGCAAAGCACAGAACGAAGCGGAGCAGAGCGAAACAACTCATCCACGGTGGATTCGTCATCATAATAGGATGCAACGTCAAACACTTGTTGCGGACAATTACCTGCTATTTGATACACTGGATATCAGCCATTATTCAATAGTTTCCACAAACTCGTGATCTACAACCAATTCATTTTTAGTAAATTTTTAATAAGTATGTTCTTTCGGGATTATTGTTTAAAAGAGGATTTCGAAGCTTTTACTCGATGTAACGCAATCGTTCGGATGTGTTATTAAACGGTAGTGCCTGTTCTTTTTCAATTAGTTTCNTTTTATCTTCTCCTATCCTGTACTATACATGTTCGATCTCGTTTCGATTTCAGTGGACATCGAGGCGGTTAGAAATGGGAAATGGCCTGAATCGAGGCAGCTCAAGGTAAACAATACGTGTGCCCAGCATATCTTTCAACCCTGCGGCCCGCCGATGAAACAAGACATTAACGAGATATCCCCGATTTGTTGTTGTATTTTTTCTTTTTTATGACGCAGTGCTACATGTACTGTCTTTGGGAGCAATTCGGTCTGGTCGACGATAAGAGGGACCTCAGTTTAAACGGGATGCTCACATTTTTCCACAGGATGCCAGCCTACAGGAAGGAAGTACAAGAAGCGATCAGCGCGTGCAAGAGGATTGGTAAATATTTTGGTATCTACCGTGTGATTTGATATTTTTCTATTTTCGCCTTCTCGATCGATCTACCCGCAAATCTCGCCTAATGCTGTGCGACACGGCTTACACCTTGATCTCTTGCCGCGGCAAATGAGCCGTTTATTTTGAAAGTGGCATAAGTCACTTTTTCCAAAAGATCGAGTCAACGGTAACACCGATTACAATCGAGCGGTATCTTTTCATCTAAAAAAAAAAGAAAAAGAAAAAAGGTGACTTATGCCACTTTCAAGATAAACGGCTCAAATGGTAGATACGCGCACCGAGCAACGTGAAGACGGGTCAAACTGATTTGAGAAGCAGTTTCAAATATACGTAGTGCATGTATATTAGAAGAGAGAGAGAAAGAGAGAGCGAGAGAGAAACACGATAGAACTCCAATTATATTTACTTGTTTAACAAACGATACTACACTTTGCACGCAGCCGCTTTGTGCAATATTTGTTAGGTTTTGTTTTTTAAACTTAGTAAGAGCACGAGTGCATCCGTATAATTTGCTTTTGTCAAGAATGCGCTTTGAATTGATCGTGATCGATCGGGTTCGGTTCGATGGAACGCGCGCTAATTAATGTAACGATCTTTCGTTCTTAGTGAAAGGAGACAACAACAATTGCGAGTACGCGTTCGCATTCAACAAATGTTACGCTTCATTATCACCACGAGTGAGTATCATTGTACCGAATCTATCTCACTGCTTCAACGTTGTTACAAGAACATCATCAGCCAATTAAACCTTCCTGTTTCAGACCTATTATCTGTTTTAACGAATTCTGCGCGAAATAAGAGGAGTAATGGAGGAGCAACAAATTCGTTTTATCGTCCGTCGAGACAACAATCGTTTCCATGTAATCCCGTAACCGTTTCGTACAACATCATAATAAACGATAAGTCTGATTTCCACGGTTGTATCTGATCTTTGCGAGACGCGTCGATTCGAAGATTTCAAGATTTAATCGCCTTTAAGCGTCGAGTTGATCGAAACTTCCGACGCTGGTCTGCTCCAATTGTCGATCGAGGTCGTGTACGAACGTGACCGCGCATTAGAAATAGAACGAGCGGGTTACTGCGATTCGTTGATTGATTAAACGCGTATCTACACGTGTAAATTACCCGAAGGTGGAACGCGCAGCGTTGCTCGTTGTCGCTCGATCCCAATCCCGATCCAAATCGACGTAAGGCGACACGAAGCGACGCGAAGCAAAGCACAGAACGAAGCGGAGCAGAGCGAAACAACTCATCCACGGTGGATTCGTCATCATAATAGGATGCAACGTCAAACACTTGTTGCGGACAATTACCTGCTATTTGATACACTGGATATCAGCCATTATTCAATAGTTTCCACAAACTCGTGATCTACAACCAATTCATTTTTAGTAAATTTTTAATAAGTATGTTCTTTCGGGATTATTGTTTAAAAGAGGATTTCGAAGCTTTTACTCGATGTAACGCAATCGTTCGGATGTGTTATTAAACGGTAGTGCCTGTTCTTTTTCAATTAGTTTCATAATCTCGTCCAACGAAACTCGTTCGTTTCTTTTTTTTTTTAGACTATTACGAGTCTGTGGAACTATTATTTTAGACTATTTCGAGGATCGTTGGGGCAACGGTGTAAAAACAGTTTGCGGTTTAACGTTTGAATATTTAATCAACGATCGATTACAAAATGTACAGAGACGCATTATGGTGAATTCGCGTGAAATAAGATAACGATAACTTGCGAAGGAATAATGATAGTTGGTACGGTCGGAGGAAAACGGAGCGATTTTGTCCTTTTTTCCTAGAAATTGTTTGCGATATGTACAATTTACGCGAACGCTGCGTAAAACCCGTGTCTGTGAACGGTAACGGTAAAAAAGAAAAAAAAAAAAGAGGGAAGGTGCACAGATTACGTTTTGCGCGGCTTTGTTTTTCTCTTGTTGATGCTCATTATCTGCTCGACAATGATGTCGTCCGCTCTGGGATCGATAGGAACAGCTTGTATAGTGGTTCGCGAGCTGACGCTTGGTTTCGAGCGCCTCTCGATAGACGAGCTCAGCCACGTCCAAATTTTCTCGCGGTTCAAGAACGCGAACGCGACTAACATTATAAACGGCAACACGATCACGGATGTTTGGCTCATCTCATTCTGGTCGATCTTCCGTTCCGCGTTGAACGTCAGCTTTACGTGCTTGAACGACGAGTTCGCTTCGAAATAGAAGGGGAGAGTGCGATACTTGTGCATCGTCTCGGATAGCGACGATTCGAGCTGCACGAAGTACTTTCTGCCATCCGCCTGCAACGGCGGCAGGTGCACCAGAAACCCGGCGTTGTAATTGCTGCCGATCTTGTTAAGCTGCTGAGTCTCTAGTTTGCCGGTGTGAATCGGCGAGTCGGGCATATCCTCTCTGCACAGCTTGACCTTCAGCGTGCGATAATGCTCCGGCTGTGCGGATACAACGTGCACGGAGACGTCGGTGCGCGATATCGGATGGAACGCGATCAGACGAAGACCATGAATGTCCTCCGAAATCTGCACCAGTATAGATTCAGGGCTGGTGCGTTGGATGTGCGCGTTGGCCTCCGCGCTCGGCTTCAGTCGGAACACATATGTGCACTGCGGAACAAAATAAATTGAAATCCTTGAAGTATCTATCCCGAAGAATCGAGAAAAATTGCTTACCCTTGGTTGAAGGCCTCTAATACGGAAATTTCCGTTCTCCTCGGTGGTCGCTTCTTCTTGGAGATTGCTGCAATCGGCCTGTCCCTGCACCTCCATTAATAGACCAGCTTCTGGCTTTCCGTTTAGCGATGTTACGGATCCGTAAGCGCTGAACGCGACTCGTTTCCCGTATAACTCTACCTTGACGGTCGCGCCTTCCATCACCTTGATCATCTTCGACGGCGGATCGAAACGGTACTCCTTCATCATTGGTCGGAGGTAGTATTCTCCCGGCGATAAAGAGTTAAAAACTAAACGTCCGTCCTCGCCCGTCACGCTGTTCTTTCGGTAACTTTGGCCGCCGGATAGGGAGAGTAGAACACCCTGCGGAGCAAAGCAACGATACACTGCTGATAGTTTGTTTCTTACGTTAACAAGACTATTAATGATATAGTCTCTGGACGCACCTGTAGCGACACGTTGTCGGCTTGATCGGATACTTGAACGATTATTTCGGCCAGTTTGTGTGCCAAAAAATCACCGTTGGAATCCGGTCCTGTGATCACGTATCCATCTTTCTCCGCGGTGACGCTGATCGAAAGAAAGACGGTGATCAATTAAAATCAACTATTAAGAATGAGTGTCTTTTACCTGTAGTCTATCTTCCTATCCAGCGGACCGACAACGTATGCTCCATCGTTTCGTGTGACTAGCGTATGGATCGGTGAAGTTTTGTCGTTTCCGAATATTTGGACGGTGACACCCTCCAATGGAGGATTGATCTTGCCTGCAATGATCTGAGAGACACGCGTGTACACACGCTTTAGAGGATCTTTCTGACGATGGTCAAAGAGTTGCAGGAATTACCAGCTCACCTTTCCCATCTCGCCGATGAACGAGGCAACATCATTTTGGCAATCGTTCACGGCCAACACTTTCAGCGACGGAGGACTGAACAGAAGAATATCCGACAACGGTGTTATCGTATAGACGTTATCGGTCTTTGCTTTGAATTCGAACTCGTACTTGTAGAAATTTCCCTCTTTCACGGGTTTCAAGGGACCCAATCTGCGAAACGACAATTTACAGTTAGATTCCATCGACAAGACTGTGCATCTTGCGAGCACGTATGCTTACGTAACGACGTCGCCGAGAGTTTTGATATTGACTTTGACAGGGTTCAACGAGGAAGCGCTCTGAATGCTTCCTTTGTGGCTGTGTTCGGACGAGTGCAACAAAATAGGTGAAAGACTGTTGGTGTCCCACGCGTAGAACGGCTGTTCATACACGTGACAACCTTTCGGCGCAAACGAGTACATGCCAGGCTTTGATACGCAATGCTTTGTACTCCCTTTGTTCAAAGCTAACGTCAGTTTCGTTGTATCGCCGGGTTCCGAGTATACCACTGTCGTATCGTGAGAAGAAATAAAAGAAACGGAGAACCCAGTCTGTATGAAAGTCGGCACTTCCGCGCGTTCCGAGGTAACGGAGATTCTGTAGCTAGGATTCTCCCAGCAGAACACATCGTTGTCGATGAGCAGCTCGTAATGGCCGGGTAATACGTCCGTGAACTTGTACTGACCATCTGTCGAACGAAAAACGACTTCGCAGGCAAAAAGAAAGTAGCATCGAACGGATCAAACGCGTATTGCTGCGATAACAAGAACACGCACAAACTCTGTATCACTTTTACCGTACTTTCTTTGCGTATATTTTGTATGCCTAATCCAATTGCTACGCGATTTTGTTATCGCAGAAACCGTTTGGAAAAGTTAGGCTGCGCTAAACCATAAATGTATGGCGCATAAAGGATATAAAGTAATTACCCTTTGCTTGTATAGTTTTTATGGTGATCCCATCGAGCACCTTTAAGGTAACGGAGGCCTGACTACAGTCAGTCCCCGGCAAACATTTCACCGTGCCCGACAACGTGGCTTTCAGCTGCAAAAAGTTTACATCGTTCACTGGTCGAGACGATACGTCGATTGTCTGCTGCAGCGGGAAGAATCTGAAAGTTTTGTGATAAGCTGGAAGATTGAGGGAAAGATACCCGGAGAACGATCTACACGACTTACTGCAAGCCTTTGTCTCTCTCTTCCGGAGTGACTACGACGCTCAATAGGTATCGGTCGGGTGCGAGATAAATGCAGAACTCTCCGGTTTTTGGATCCGTTTCGATTTCTTTGGTGAATGTGTTGGCAGTGTTCTGTGCGGAAACCTTTCGATGATGCAACGTTTCTTTGGCCGATAGAGTTACCTTTCCGCACACTTTGTAAGCCGATGGTGACAGAACTGGGAGTTCCGAGGAGCTCGGAGAAATCTTGACCAATCTCTCGATGAAAAGTACATTATCTAAACAGGATTAAGAAACGGTCAGATAATGGCAGAATATCATAACAAGACGCGATCAATAATATACGCATACCGGCTTCAGCTTTCAGCGAATACTGTCCGGCTTTCATATTGTCTAACACGTATTTTCCGGCTGCGTCCGTCACAGCGACCTCCTTTTGTGACAAAAATATTTTTGTGCCCGGCAGCGGATCACCATCGATCGCAATGCGAACGAATCCGCTTACTGTAAAACCGGTTACTTTAAAGCCTGGCCGTAACGCAACGCTATTGTGATTTACTTTGAACGACAGTTCAGCTGGTTGAACGTCGAATTTCGTTTGACCGCCGGCGTAATACGGGACCAGTTTGTAGTCTCCGGGTGACACGCTTGGAAACACAAATTTGCCAGTTTTATCCGAAACAACATGGCAAATAGGTTTCCTTGACCGAAGTTCTTTACTTATGGCTGTGGTGGCGCAATTTTTTGCTACGCCATTCTATACAATCGAGAAAAGCGATCAAGATTAATCGGTAGAACAATTACTAATCGTGAGCAGATAACGATGATGAACCGGTACTTACTCCGATGAGTAAAAAGGTCACACCACTGACTGGTTCTTCTTCGCTGGTGACGCGACCGCTTACATCGTACCCAAAAACCACCAAGCTACCGTCCGCGAGTTCAGTATTGCCCTCTCGTACCGTTACTCTGACGGTATCCTTTTCTATGACCCATCTAAAAGAATGAAAGAGAAATGTATAAGAGAGTTTGAATGTATTCAAGAGCGTTAACACTCACGTTGGATGGGAAGCAACTAGAACATATTTTCCAGGCTGTATTGGCGTGAAATAAAACGTTCCCCCTTCTGCAGTGAGTGTAGTTTCTGCTGGAACTTGCTCGCTTCCTTCTTTGTACAGTGCAATGTTTACACCTTTTGGTCCTGAATCTGATCCTAACGCTATAACCTAAACAAAGTTTTTATACGAGATGAACGTATAATTTTGAGGTCGTATCTTTTAGATAAGACATAGTTTAAGTTTTCAATTTACTCTGCCAGCAATGCCGAATCCTTTGAAGGTAAAATTTATATCTTTTCCCAGGCTACAAGCATCAGTCGTTCCATCCACATTCAACAAAACTTCCATAGGTTCGAAACTCCATCCTCTAGGCGGGTCTACCTAATATTTTTGTTCATACAATGAGTATAAGTTGAACAAATTCTTACCAAATGATCAATTATTAACAGTGTTTCTGTCAGGGTTTTCCATTACCTTCAGTATGTATTCCCCTTTATCATACAAAGGAAGAAAATAGTATCCATTGTTTGGAGCACATTCTGTAGCATCTTTAAGGCTTCCAGCTTTAGTGTATCTAATTCAAAGGAGAAGTTTGTGTCAATATTTTCATGATCGAAGACGTTTCAAGGAAGCACGTGAGTCGTAAACGAGTCGACTTGCTACGGATTCAATGGTAGGTGTCAGTACTTACAGTTTTACCTGAACTTTTGCGAAATCGATATTAGCGTGACTTTTTAAAAATCCTCCGCATCCTAGAATATCTTGGGCGTCGGAAAACACTATCGATACACATGTGTAAAATAAATAAAACACAATCATTCGTTTCATCTTCGTCTTTTCGGGTTAACGTCCATGTACTTCCATGCCTATCAAAAAATGATGATCCGCTGAATTATCGCTACACCACTACGGACGCTATGTAGGTGAGTGGTCTCCTCGCGCCCTCTACCTAAAGTCACAGTTGACCGTCGATAATATGGCTAACAGTTTGAGCGTTTTGTCATTACTCCAATTGGGCGCTGCACGGACCTCGAACGGATCTTCACTTTCTCGCCAAAAGGGGCGCTATCGTCGCCCGCATGTGCAGAGTGCATGATCGCTGAAGAATATTAATTATAGTATAATTACTACAAGAGAAAAGGCAAGCCAAGGGCATAAAACTGTTCAGCAATATCTGCAGTGTCGATCGCTTCTGAACAAGATAAATGGCGACGGTATTATCTTGTTTGTGCATTCAAATACTGTATCACCACGTATGTCTTACAGACTGATATAGGTCTAAAGAGTTAGTAAAAAAAAACTTTTGTATCACTTATCACTTTTATGTTACCAATGGGTTCCTCAACTGGTTATTATGAAGCGATAATAATAATAATAATTGAAATAATAATAAATTGTAGGTGAACAGAAGGAAACGAGAATGATAAATGCGACAAACGTTTCCAACGACGTAATATAATTTATTCGTAATCATATAAAAAAGGACCATTTAAATTCGTAAATGGCTTGGTAGACAGAAAATTTGCAACAATAATTTCGCGCCTCCGCCAAATTCGCTCCAAATTGCCGGCGATCGTACCCATTATTACTTGCCCGTAACGATTGATCAACCAGGTGACTAGCATTTGTTTCTCGGCAGGGAGGAAAAGCTGAAGTGCGTTCTCGACAACCGGGATTCGACGACGGTCCGGCGATAGTACGATTCAACGAGCCAGCAAAGACTTTGGAGGAAGCGCGTCGCGCATAGCCCCTGGCTACAGATTCCATTTTTTCCTTCGTTTGCTCGTCACTTTTGCTCCTCTTTTCCCCCATGCTCCGCGCCTTCGGAATGTCTCGATTACAACAGTTGATCGACTAAAACAATAGAAACCGCGATAACCGTGATTCGCGATCACATGGAATAATAAAAAACGTAGATGTTCGTTCGATCGAAAACTAAATCTGTACATACACGCATCGAGTATAAAAAGTTTGCGAACGAATTCACCTTGAGCCGCGGCGTCGCGCCACCGTGAAGACGGAAGGAAGGCGTTTCCCGCGCGTTATGGCGTTACGGTGTTACAACATATAACGTTACGGCGCGTTACGTTATACGCACGTGCACGCGAAGCAAATGCATACGCTGCCCGTATGTATCATCTAAAAATTGGCCGAAGACGTTGCGATCACAGTTTCCAACGAAACGCGTTTAATAAATCACAAGGGACGACTCGGAGAAAACGATATCACGAAAACATTATAATCGGTAATCGGCTACCTAGCGTTTTTACTAATCGTCGCTATCGCTATCATTCTCTAATACTTCCGTTACTACGGCCTCTAACATCTAACACAAATAAATATCGTGTGTGCGTATTACTATTTGCTGTTTTCCGAAAGAGCTATTAACGTATAAATCGCGTGAGAACGTCACGCGAGAATAATCGGGGAACGTGGAATTCTAACGAGACAACAACAGTCGGCAATTCTATCAGTCTATTCTCGCGATCGTAGAGCGTCGCCGCCGCGATCGTGCGCACACCTTTGAAGTCTTCCTCGCGCGAGATATGCGAGATGCGATATGCGATGATACGCGAGATCGATCGCTCTTTCTCTCCTTTGTCGGCTGTGTCGTCGAATCTCTCTAGAAGAAATTCGAGGGGAATAATATCCTAACGAGGGTCCTCTAATTTTTAGCTAATGCGCGAACCTCCGCTTCTCAGCGTCGGTTCAACTAAACGGTCCTACCGTGCTATCGTGCTAAGACTAAGACTTTTATCTTTGGTATACTAACGGGGAAACGATCGTTCCGCCGGCAGAACCGACTACAACGATTCGCCTTTTAGTCCGCTGCTCGAGCTTCACCGTTCCGGAAGTACGGATTTCGCGTAGAAATAGGAACATCGCGAATTGCGAGTAAGATGCGCGTGCGAACCGTCGTGACGTGGACGCGGCACCCACCTTTTTGCCCTCCGTGAAAAATATTTGCGGTTCGTGGTTCGCGCGCGGTTCGCCGATTTCGCCGAGCCGCTCGCCTAAATTCGACGCACGGGGACACCGGGGGGGACCGCGGGATCTCGCAACACACGCTCGAACAGTTCCTGCGCGTCGAACATATAACACGCGAGAGAACAATGCCCAGAAAATATGCAACGTTCTTCAATTTTGATTCTCTTACTGTGTATAGACGCGGACAGAAAAATATAATATCGTATATCGATCGCCTCCTATAAGGGGATTTCTTGTGAGATCGCTTCGCGCGAGAATCGTTTCCGGCGTTCGGCCGGAATTTCGAATTTCGATACGACTTTGGTAGAAACGTGCACGCGCGATATGTAGCGAGTGTGGAAGAGGAGCGTGCGCGGTTCGCGGACGCGTTTGAACAGGCGGCCGCAGTTTCCCTCGTTGGCGCGCGACGACACCAAGGATAATCCCTCTAGCGCTCGGTTCACGGCATCTGGTCGGACATCACCGGTTCCAAACAAGTCTGTTTCAGCGTCGCCGACTGGTCCTCCAGGCTTCGTTTCAAGCCCTCTATCGTGTGCATCAGCATCTGCCTACGGAGCTGCGACATCTGCTGCTGAAGAATCTGCGAATCCTGAGCGTCCACGGCGACCAATCGTTCTCGTCGTAGCTGGGCGACCTTCTCCTTCAACGATCTTCTGGAGTCGTCTACGGTATGGGCACATTAATTCCGATACAGGATCGAGCGTGTAAATTCGCGTTAGAGCGACTATTGCAGTATGTACTATAGTATATACTATAGTATATATATACTACAATATACTATATTATATATAATATATATATAGTATATACTATAGTATATATATATACTACAATATATTATACTACGATAGTATATACTATAGTATATATTAGTATAGTATATACTATATATAATATAGCATATTATAGTATATTATATAGTATATATATATAGTATATAATAGTATATTATAGTATAGTATATATTATAGTAGATACTATTGTAGTATAGTATTCGAACACTAGTGTACCTTTGACTTTCTACGTCATATATTTAAATAAATGTACATTGGTTTTTACTTTCTTACGTGTTTTTTTCTTTCTTTTTTTAGCTTTTACTTACCAGTGTCGTCGGTCGCGGTGTCTCCGTCCGAGTTTCGAAGAGCTACGTGTTCCCCCAAGGTTTTCTGTATCCGGCCGTACGTGGTGCTCCCCGCGTACACTTTCCTCTTGACTGGCTCGCTTTGCGGACAGTAGAACGAACCTTCTTTCGTGGGGCCCATGTCGACCGACCTAGCGGAACGAATAAAACGCGCCTGTTTACACGAGCAGCGGACCGATAAAATACGACGTAGGAATTATCCTACATTTTATTAGCTTTCTACAATTTATTAAAATTCGACGCGACCAAGGTGCTAACCTGAAGGTCATCAGGGTCGGCCTCCTTCTAATGTCGCACCTGTCCTCGGAGTCCGAGGAACTCGACAGAATGAATTCCTCTTTGGCCGACAGCCTTGTCGGATGGGCGTCGGTTCCGTTCGTTCCGTCCCTCCGCGGGAAGACCGCGCGAGGCCGATTCTGCGGACGAGCCTCGGGCTGAACGGTCGTCGACGGAGGCGGTTCCGCGTCCGACGACGGGACTCGTCGGAAACCGTTGCAGGCGAGCGGCGGAGCTCGCGGCAGCTCGTTGCCCTCCACCGGCTGCGAGCGCCGTCGCGCTTCCGCTTCCGTTTCTGCATCCGCTTCCGATTCCGGCCGGCGATCCGATTCCGCGTCCGACTCGCGCCGGCTTGACCGGAACGTGGCTTTGCCGGGCGAGTGCAACGGCGGCGTTCTTCTCGTCGCGATCGGAGAGTCGCCGACGAAGTACTTGATCGGCGGCGCGGCCTCTTGCCTGTAACGGAGCTCGCTGGCGGTCGGGCCGTTTCGCTCGACGAATCGGCGAACAGGGGAGCAAGGCTGCGCGAACTGTCTCTTGGGGCTGGTGTGCTCGAGATCCCGGATGCTGCCGCTCTGCAGCTCCGGCTGGGAGTTCCTGCTCTTGGAGAGGGCCAGCTCGATGTTCAGCTCGGTGTTCTTGATCAGCTCGACGCGCTTGTTCGCCAGACCGTTGTGGAACTTTCTCGTGGGCGACGGGACGACGGGCAGCCCGCCGTTCTGGCTCTTCTGCATCGTCACCAGGATGTTCTCCGCCTCGAGGATAAGCTCGCGGTACTTTTTGTCCGCCTCCTTGTCCGCCTCGATCAAAGCGATCTCGGAGGCGAACGCGGTCATGTAGGCGCTGCCCGCCGATCCGATTCTTCGGCCGACCACGTTTCCGTTCACGTAGCTCACCTTTGGGGAAACACAGGGATAACGTCGCAATGAGAAGAGTGCTTCCGGCTAGTGTCGGGACCGGTGCCGCATCGATACCTATCGGTACCAGTTGCGATACTGAATTCTGTCGACGACGTACTGTAACTCTGATTAATAGTCGGACACCTTCTAAAATAGATAAATTACTTTAATAATGTAATATATATAATAATATATATATATATAATTAATATTAATATATATATATAACTGTATATATTATATATTATATTAATTATTATATTATATTATTATTATTATTATTATATTATTATTATTATTTTTTAATTATAATTATTATATTATTATATGTTATATTAATATTAATATATATATAATAATATAATAACTTTTTTGGAATTGAACTAAACGATTTGAATTTCTTTCAGATGATAGAGGGACCAGTCTACTAGACCATAACTAGAGCGTTTTTTTTTTAAATTTTGCTATTGCCTAGAATGACAAAAGAAAGTACTTTGTTACAATTTTCCTATTATGCTCTTGGAATGGCAAAACAAAATAAAAACTCTCGTCATTTATCTGTTTCATCCGAGCCTGTAACGAAAATTTAAAAAATGCGTTTCGTAGACTTCGGTAACTTGTATGCATTGAAATCGGTTAACCTTGGTATGAGCTGCAAACAACCGAAGATCGCAACGATCGTAGCCTTTTCTTCGATTTTTGGAACTTTCGATCAACATGTCTGAGAAATCTGCAGTTTTTAAAATCTTTTAACGCTTGTAATTTTGCGTCAACCGATTTTTATGAAATTTTCAACACGCGCATAACTTACCGACATCTATGAAACGCATTCTTTTTTAAACTTTTGCGACAGAATCAGATAGAACTGTTTAAAAAACGAGAGTTTTTCTTCGTTTTGTTTTGTCGATCCAAGTAGCAGTAAAATTGTGACAAATTAGTTCAGTCATTATCTAGTATACTAGATCATCCATCGTCTAAAAGAGAAATTCAATTCGTTCGGTCCAGTTTTAAACAAGTTATCGCGTTTCAAAAGGTGTCCGAACATTAATGTGTGTAACCATAGATATCAAACAGTATCGATACTTTTTCAATAGGTACTCTTAAAAATCGATGCCCGACCGATACTTTCACGGGAATATCGATGGCTGAATGATACTTCTACAAGAATACCGGTGTCGGTACGCTCTCTCAGTACTACTTTTATGAAGTGCCAATTTACAGAAAACGAAAGTATTAATACTAATACAATTCACAAGAAAATAGGAATCGATAAAGTCTGATGTTTACATAATTTTACTCGACAAGCATTTAAAATGAATTGAATGTTTTGTAAACATAATAACTCGTAAGTACTTTGTTTAGTCTTTACTGGTTTTATTAGTGAATATTGTTATTATTATTATTATTAGTAAATATTACATTCTCAAGATATTTCTTGCAGACGTGTTGGCCCTTCTGTTGTTCCCAATGTAATAACAATTTATTTTATAAATATTATATAATATATTATATTATTTATTTATATATATATATATATATATATATATATATATATATATATATTATTTATATATNTATATATGTATATATATTATTTATATATATTTATATTATACATAATTATATAATATGTAATAATATAATAATTATATAATATATAATAATATAATAATTATATAAATATATAATTATATTAATTGCCGAAAATCGAGCAATTAAGTAAAAATGTAAGTAACCCCCCGGGTCAAAATTGACACAGCCACCGCCTTGCTAGGGTCAAGTACTTCGGGCATCGAACTGACTAAACATCATCAATAATATCAGTATCAATTCCATCACTACTTCCGGCAGATTCGAAGCAAGATCAGAGAGTCATCGATCGCGTGCAAGAGCAAAGAACGAACAAACGAGCGAACAAGACTAGAGAAGTAAAAGCCGCGGAAGCGCGCGCTTACCGAATTCGAGCGCCTCTTGACTACGTCGAGATCGACGCCGACGTCGACACCGGTGCCGATCCCAGTGCCAACGTCGACGCTGCTAGGATGAACGGAGGCCCTCTCCGTGGCGTTTAGCCTGATCGGCGACAGGTTCTTGTTGAGGTCGTGCTTCTTGCGCCGCAGGCATATGGGGGTGCCGCCGACGCTCCTGCTGCCCTGCTGATTGAAGCCCGAGTTCTTCAGCAGCATCCTCTCGAGCAGTGCGCGGTTCAGATTCGCCGTTTCGTCGTCGCATCTGTCCGCCGTGGCCGACTTCCGCCGCTGCGAGGCCCGCTTCTTGCGTTTCTCGCTCTGCTGTTTCTCTTCGGTCTTCTTGCCGTGGCCACGGCTCGCTGACGGCCTCTTCGCGGACACGTTCTTCGCGCTGGCCATTCTGCGAACAGACAGGCATCGCCCGCCGGATATTTCGTTAACCTTTTAGGCACGACGCGCCACTATAGCGGCTTGCGCGGATGTCATTTCTCTGGACGACGCGTCACTATAGTGGCTTGCTCTGGTAGCACACTCGCTCATCGTTCGAACCAAATAATCGTCTTTATATGCATTGTTTCACACTTCTTTTGTCTTCGCATCGATTTACAACAGTCTACAGGGTGTCCCAAAAATGTCTCGCAATCCGGAAATGGCGGGTTCCTCGGATCATTCGAAGCAACTTCTTCCTTTACAAAAATGTTCTCCGAGGCACCGTTAACGAGTTATCAACGAAAAACAGTGACCAATAAGAATCGAGTACGGCTGACGCGAGGCGGTCCAGTTGACCAGCGCGCGAAGCCCGGTTCCGCTCATTGGCTCGATCGCCTCGCGCCAGCCGAGCTCGCCTCTCATTGGTCACCGTTTTTCGTTGATAACTCGTTAACGGTGCCTCGGAGAACATTTTTGTAAAGGAAAAAGTTGCTTCAAATGGCCTGAGGAATCCGCCACTTTCGGATTGCGAGACATTTTTGGGACACTCTGTTTATACAGTATCAGACTCTGTACAGTACACATCAGACTCTGCTGTCCAGAGAAATAGCCTCGCGCAGAATTCAGCCGTACCTAAAAGGTTAAAGCATGCCGCGCCTAAGATTGGCTTCGAACGCGACTTAGCGGTACAGTAAATTTCCTCGAATTGTCACCTCGGCTTGTTAATAAGAATAGACAATTTCGGAGGAAAGAATACGATTATTCGAACCTCGCGGCTCGTTTTTATAATTGTTGACAATCGGTCGAGTCGTAAGTAATTTCCGTTTCTTTATCAGACACTTATCTTATTTCCTTTTTATTTATCTTGTTTTCTTTATTCATTCTTGTTTGTTTTTCATTCTTGTGACATTCATTTTTATCTATTTAGAAAATGGAAGAACTCGCGCGCGCGCGTTTGACCCAGTTACTCACCGAGTGGGTGCATAGGAACAATAGATTCGACCTACAGTAGCGGATATATATTTAAGACCACTTGAAAAACGGTATAACTTCTTTAAAACTGGACTAAATGACTTGAATTTCTTTTAGATGATAGAGGGGCTAGTCTTAAAAAAAATTTATACCATTTTTCTAGCGGTCACAAACACATATACGTCCGCTAACTGCAGCTGCGTCGGACGTTATTTACGACTCGACCTGACATATAATAAAAACGAGACTCGAACAATCGTATCTCCGCTTCCGAAATTGTCGCATCTTTTGTTTGCAAGCTGACCGACAATTTCAGAGAACGTTCAGAGTATTACCTCTGTAGAACGGCGTTCGCGTCCTCCTTGGTCCTTCGTTTCGTCAACGATTCCCGCAGCTTGTCGCTTCGCCTGGCCAGCTCGCTGGTGAACGCGAAATAGGTGCAGTGGCCCGTGTTCGGGAACCGGCCGGAACAGTCGAGATTGTCGAGGTCGAGGAACGAGCCGTTGTCGATGTAATCGAACTCGGTGTTGTCCAGCGGGTCGTTGTCCTCGGCGCCGATGCGAGCGGCGTCGACGTCGGACAGCGAGTCGATGCAGTCCTCGCAATCGGTCGGGTCGCTGTCGGACAGAATGTCCGTCTCCTTTTCGTACACGTAGCTCTCGTCGAACTTGCCCATCATCTCGTTCAAGGTGATGTCGTCCTCGGAGGACCTGGCGCTCCGCGTCACCGACGACGTCGACGAGCCGTTGCAGTTTCGATTCCCGTGGCCGTGGCCGTGGCCGTGACCGTGGCCGTGGCCCTTGCCGATCGTATTCACGATTTCGTTTTCTAGCCCGTTGCCGTTGCAGTCGCTGCTGCCGCTGCAACCGCTGTTGCTGCGGCAGTTCCCGTTGCTGCTGCCACCGCCGCCGCCGCCGTCGCCGCTGCTGCTCGTGCTGCTGCTGCTGCTGCTGTTGCTACGCCGTTGCATCGACAGAGCCATTTTCGATCGAATCTCCAGGCCAGATGCGATCCTCCAGTTTTGGTTTATGCTGCGCGGGGAAACTGGATTAGGCTAGACGTCCCAATTTCCGTGTCCCCGGATCAACCCCTTGCGGCACCATTTTCTTTACAATTTTCAATGATTGCGACTCGATCGATCGCAAGAGAAATATGCATCGTCGGTACATAGATAAAACTTTTCTCTCTCTATACGTGCTTAAATAAGGGGGGCACAGAAATTGAGCCAGGCGTGGAAACTGGGACATCCGCTCGAGCTTCGGCGCGAAGAAGCCAAAGGAAAACGCGACCGAGCGCGAGACGGTCGCTCGCGTTTTCCTCGGACAAGGACGATCGCCGGTGAGTTTAGCGTAGAAACGAAACGAAATCTTAGACGAGACCTGGAGGAACGCGGGAGGAAGCGAATGTAAATTAACCCTTAGCACTCCGAACCATTCTGGACGTTGGCTACTCGGCGCCACTTTTCGGCAGAAACGGGCATTTACAGACCCTCGTATTATTTGGTATGCTTTTGGAATTAACTAACATATTATAATGATATTGGACTTGTACGAGTTAGGCTGAAATCGAGAAATTTGCAAACAAATCAATATTTTATTTTTTATTATTTTGTCTCGTTGTTGTAATCGCTGTCTATGCCAACTCTTTCTCTCGTCGCCTCGTTGCTTGGACGATATCGCTATCGCTGCTATCGAAACGATAGATCAACTGTAGAAGAAAACCTTCCACAGTTAGTCTTTCTAACATATCTGTATAAACGTCTATCCGGAGCTCATCTTCGCTACTACTCGTGTCACGAGACTCATTCGTGTTCGAACGTTTCGCCATTGTTCTAATAAAAAATACGAATAAATACATAGGTTGAAAATTTCTAATCGTTATTACTAACTCGCAAGATGATATTTACCAAAAAAACTTTCACCAAACAATTTATTTACCAAGAGAAGAATCACTTTTCCGATTTTCTCACTCGTTAGATCTATCTATACCGCTCGACGCTTCGAACCAGACCGAGTTCAGCTTTGAAAATCTTTTCCTCCAGATTTTATGATTATAAATCTC